ACCAATAAACAGCCATACTGTACAACAGTGAGTAAAAAAACAGCAAATAAATGCATAACGTTGGTATGTAACTTCATTTTAAATTTATACAGATGTGTGAATGTTAAAACATAAACAAAACAAACAACAAAACAGAATATGCAGCAGAATATAATAATTTAGGCGACGCAGTGGCGCAGTAGATCACTTCACAGCAAGAAGGTCGCTGGTTCGAGCATCGGCTGGGTCAGTTGGTGTTTTTGTGTGGAGTTTGCATGTTCTCCCTGCGTTCGCATGGGTTTCCTCCAGTTGCTCCGGTTTCCCCCACAGTCCAAAGACAAGTGGAACAGGTGAATTGGGTAGCCTAAATTGAAAATGAATGAATATATTTTAGAATTTACAGACGAAATATACATGTGTTAAATATTTTTACATAATGTTTTACAAAGTGTTTCATACACTTTCACACTAAGAGCAGTTGTTAGTATTTATGTTTTTGTCTTTTTTTCTTTCTTTCATTCTTTTCGGCTTAGTCCCTTTATTAATCTGGGGTTGCCACAGGGGAATTAACTGGGGTTTGGCTGGGGTTGCCACAGCCAACTTTTCCAGCATATGTTTTACGCAGCAGATGCCTTTCCAGCTGTAACCCATCACAGGGAAACCCATACACACTCATTTGTACAAATACATACACTACGGACAATTTAGCCTACCCAATTCACCTGTACCACATGTCTTTGGACTGTGGGGCAAACCAAAGTACCCGGAGGAAATCCACGCAAGCGCAGGGAGAACATGCAAACTCCACACAGAAACGCCAACTGAATCAGGTGAGGCTCGAACCAGCGACCTTCTTGCTGTGAGGTGACAGCGCTACCTACTGTGTCACTGCGTCACCCTTTTTCTTCTTTATTTTTTTCATAATTTTTTTATAATTATTTTTAAAAAGATAAATGATTTTTTGATGTAAGCCCAGCATATACTTCAGTTTTCAAGTTTAAATTAGCGCAAATTTGTTTTTGCTGTAGTTTTAATTAACTCCCAGGTTTTCATCTTAAAGGTCACCTCGAATTAAATAGTAAAGTTTTTTTGGTCGTCATTATCAAAATGTTTTACATTCATCTATAAACTACTGAAATTCAAGACAGTTACACAATTACTTAATTTAATAAGATATAAGTATTCAAATCTGTATATCACCTCTGCCAAAATGGATCAGTAAATTTTTGACATCACCTCATATTTCATCCTCTTATCAATTCTGACCAATAAAATGCTTTCTAGTATCTCAAGCTGTTGCAGTCCCACATCCAACAAAGCCACTTCAGGGGACATTTAAGATTTCTTGTTTGCAGACAGATGTTTAAGACAGAGTTCAAAGAGTTTTGAAGTTAGTTTTTCTGGCAAGCTTGAGGCTTGTGTCTTGTCTTTATGTATTGATTTGCCCCGACTCTCTGATGCCGGTGCCCGCTTTAAACTCATGCATTAATAAGTGCAAACTCATCAGCAATCATATTTCCCCTCCTGCACTCAGGCCTATGATGACTGAACTTTTTCATGTTTTAGTGATTAAACTCTGATGCAATGTTCACATATTAGGACAAACTAATACCATTTTAAAATTAAATGATAACGGTCGTTCACACCAAATTTGATAACTATAAACATAGATTTAAAAATCATTCTGAATGTTAAACAGCAGGCTGATTTCACGCCACTGCTATAACTATAAAGATATTAGGGAATTATATCTCTAGGATAATTTTCAGAACAATTTATTCCATCTAATATACAGTTAAACCAGTTTATTAAGCTGGAATCTACAGAAATATAATTTAAATACAGACGACATTGTGGAGGAAGTCAGTGCTTTTTTAAAGACTATTTAAAGATTACGACTATTTTGGAAACAGTTGGCTATACAGAGAATGGAATCATAAAAATGTACATGGAAGCTATGCAAGCCAAGCTAGCAAATTGAAGTATAAAAATAAAAGTACTTCTGGTATCCAGTATAGTTTTGGCATTTTGTGTTGCCTCCTTTAAAAATGCTGGCTGAAAATTATTGGTAACACTTTATTTTGATGATCCTTCAACAGACATTTAACTCACTATAAGAAACTTTGCAAGTACATGTCAACTTACACTAAACCTAACCCTAACCAGAACCCTAACAGTCTACTTATAATCTAATGTGTAGTTGCATGTAGATGCAATGTAACTTAAATTCAACAAACGGACCATCAAAATAAAGTGTGACCAAATTATAAATTAGATAGATTACAGATAAAAATGCTGGCTGAAAATAATTGATTGGCTAGATTACAGATAGAAATGCTGACTGGCAATAATTAATTAGATAGATTACACGAGCTGGATTCACTGGTCTGATGCATTGGAAACATTGCACTCTGAGGACATGTGCTGGTTACATGGAGGGAAATGCCAAAAGCATAACTTAAAGGCTGATTTATACTTCTGCATTGAGTGATCAGAGTGTAGATGTGCATTTATACTTCTGCATGCTGTTTGTGTTGCTCTGCAATAGCACTTCAGAAACGCTAGCTGGCAGTAGGTTTTTATGTTCCTCTGTGTCAAGTTTCTTCACAGGTGTTATGTTTTTCTGAACGCTATGTTAATAGTTAAAACTCGCTCATTTTCAAGCGGGAACCAACAGACGTGCAAAAACTTTCATCATAAGGTAAACATAATACACCAGTTTCCATCTAGAGCTACTTTACTTTATTCTGAATCATTTTGAGATACTGAGCTTCAAAGTTTTTGCATTTCATAGCAAACAGTATGTGTGTAACATTTGTTTTTTAAATAAAGTCTTGAAATGTAAACAACTGATAAAAAAAATCCCATAATGTAAATAAGTTGTCATGTAATAAGAATATGTCAATAACTCAGTTTTGACAAAAATGTCAGATGAAACCTTATCATTCTAAGGTGACGATTTGTAAACATTCACTTCAACGGGTTCGCGTAGCTCTTTGTCCCACCCACACTAGTCACAGCTACCTAGCCAACCAATCACAGAGCTTGCACTATGTGTTGTTGCGACTTTAAGTTTTTTAAGAGGTGCACAAAGACTGTGAGAAGGCTGCGCCGGAGCATATGTGTGCGCTTGACGCAGAAGTATAAATCAGCCTTAAACATAAACGTAAGCTGCGTCTAAAATCTCTTACTTCCATACTATATAATATGTTATAAACAGTAAGCAAACCAAGAAGTGTTTCAACAGTAGGCGAAAAGTACCTGGATGAAGAGTGAAGTAGCGCAAGTGACGCGGGTTGGTCACATAATAGTGATAAATGTTGTATGGTTGAGTTCCATTCATACTACTCACGTTCATACTATATAGAACCTACTTTTCTAACAGTCTTGTAGTAAAGTCAAATTCAAATGTAGTAGCTACTCGAGTTTTATGCGATTTCGGACGCAGCCATATTGTTCATCAGTAAACTGACAGGAACACAGCACAAACTCAGGGCTATAGTGTGGTATTGTTGTAAAAATTAACTTTAAGTATTTATTCCACATAGCCTCATCACTAGGTAGTAAAAATTATTTTTGTTTGGGAGAGGGGGGTTAAATTTTTCCCAAGGTTGCGCTCACAACAAGTGGGCGTTTCGTTTAGATGTCACAACAAAACAGCTGAAGATTCGAATGAACCAATTTGTATAAACGAATCGGAGTCAACTCTTCTTTTTTTTGTTTTTGTTTTTAAGAGCGACAACAGCTTTATACACAGTGCACTTTTAGATTTAAATGGCAGCTGGATGTTTTCATTCACTTTCAGCTGTGTTATTTAAAAAAAAAACATAGTAGGGTCTTTTTTAATGAGCTTGTTTGTTAGCATCTGACTAAAGTTACCAGTAGCTATGTTTCCATCCAAAGATGTGAATTAAATTTATGCACAAAACTGGATTATCACATAAAAGACGTGCAAATAAAGCAGCGTTTCCATCCAACGAGTCAAAGATAACAAAATGGTCACTTCCTGATTAACTGGTGCCAAATATCCACAGTAAAAACAGAATTTGCTGGGGTAGGAGAAACTTCATGAATCTTTTCCTTATTTAATAAATAACTTGCACATCAGAAGACGATGCCATCATGCAATGAACATGTGGTGGCATTTGAAGGTGTCAGACGCAGAGCACAGATGCTCTTGACAGTTTTTTTTATGGGCATCTTGACGTTTCCATCAACCCATTTTTTATGCACATATCCACAATGCGCATAAAAATAAGTGAATGGAAACATAGCTATTGTCTCTGACTGTCTTCACAGAGACCTTAGCTGTTGTTAGATTAATGCTTAAACATGCTTACTTTGCACTGTATGTGCAAGTGAAGATAAGAGAGTTTTAAGAAATAGCGTTTATTAGCAAGGGTCAGCTTATTATTAATCAACTTTATGGCAACCACTTGTGAGAATCACTTGTTTTGTTGTTTCTGGAGTGTCAGAATGAAAGTGTGTAAAGGCCAGCCCTTTTCTGGAAAGCAGCAGCTCATTTCCATTTAAAGAGACACAGAAAAATGCTGTTTTTAATGAGAATTTTGATTAGCTACAGTATCATAAATGATTTGTGTGGTATTTTGAGCTGAAACCTCAAGATTTATTTGACATTCTATAAAGAATGGAGTAATATGTCCCCTTTGATCAAAAATATGAAATAGTATTAAATAACTGTGACAGATGAGTTAAATAATGGACTTCCAGTGCTCATCAGACAGCAGTGCACTTCAGGATCAGCGCCATTTTAAACGCTGATCAGGAAAACAGAGCTGCAAACATTACAGAAAGGCACAGTCAAGATTTTCACATCGTTTTTACACACGGAAGAGCCATAAAATAGTCATAATGGCCTTCCGCTAATGCATAAACACTTAAGAGCAGGTTGAGTGAAGCAGACTGAAACGGTAACATCACAATACCTTATAGAGGTTTTAATAGGAGATCTCCTCATAGAGATGCTGAGGATGAACATTATTAGGCAAGTTTAATTTTAGATGGTCTGGTCGGACTGCCAGAGTCTGACATCTGATCAAGTTTGTTGAATGTCTTTTATTTAACTGCTATTATTTGTATGTTTATTGATTTTTTTATATTGATTGATTGATTTTTCTTGTAACTTTATAATGTATTTTTGAAATGTGTAATAATGCATTTTTTAAAGTAAATTTTATTTAGGTGATTTATTAAGTTTTACCTTTTTTAATTGTGTTCATTTATCATAGGTGTTTTGAAAATGTGTATGCATTTATTTTATGTTTTGCAATTATTAAATAGTTTATTTGTATTTATTTATTTACTCATTTTATTTATTCATTTATTTATTTATTTATTCATATATTTATATATTTAATTATTATATGTTTGTTCATTTATTTATTTATTTACTCATATTAATAATTATTTATTTGTTTATTTTTATATTTACTCATTTTAGTTTTTATTTAATTATTATTTATTTGTTTATTTACTCCTTTTATTTATTTATTTGTTAATTGATTGATTTTTAATTCATTTATTTACTCATTTTATTTATTTATTTAAATATTATTTATTTATTTACTCATTTTATTTATTTATTATTTATTTGTTTACTCATTTTGTTTATTTATTTATTTACTTTTTATTTATTTATTTATTATTTTAAATTTTAAAACTTATTTACAATATATTTTAATAACATTTATTAATTGCTTATTTATGTTGTACATGTATTTGAATAATAATATTAATCATTAATATTATCATTATTATTATTATTATTATTATTATTAATATACTGGCTACACTAAAGCATGCTTGGTCATTATAACCCAGTTTTGGGTAAAATGTGGACAACCCCACCTGTTTTGTTAAGAAGTGTAAATTAAATTTTAATTAAATTGTACAAAATGTTCCCTACATTTGGTTTGCCATATTTAACCCATTGTTGGGTTACATCAACCCTGCCTTTTTTAAATGCAATTGTTTATTTATCATTTTTATTAATTTATCACTATGCAATGACAATATAACTGCAAAAAAAAGATTTTATTGTTTTAAAAATTTAAAACAATAAAACTCATTGATGCACCAATCGAACATTTAAAACCCATTAGGTTGCTCAAAATTATATCCAAAAATGGCTTCAAACAACCCTGTGTTGTTTATCGAATGGCCACTATAGAGTGCTTTAACTGTACAAGTATTGGTGTATCCTGTAAGTAAATGAAGATGCTCAGATTATGGCTGGCTCATCACCGCTGTACATTACAGCTGGAGAGAAAAGAGGGAGTGTCTGAGGCTTTCACAAACTCTGTGGAAAGCAAAGCTGCCGGACGTTTCCACATGGACGTGAAGAAACTCCTCGCTTTAACCGGTTTTAGTTGTAGAAGTGTCCATTACACAGACATTAGCATCCCGTTTACAGCCGTGGTTTGTTTATAGCTGTCAATACACCTGCTAGTGTCCAGTTAACCACCGTTGGTTTGGGAATGAAGACTTTGAGAACTTGTTGCTGGAAGGAACACCGCTGATCTGGCTTTTAGCAAACATAGCATGAGCTCTTGATTTCTCTGGGTTTTGTGTATTTGACATTGGCTGTGATGGCGATTCAGGGTATGGAGTTGTTTGCGGTGGCTGTGGTGATTCTTATGTTTGTTTTGGTGCTCAAGCAGTTTGGCATGAGCGAATCGCTGGGGGACGGTAAGAATTTTGGTGTTGACATTGTTTTTTTGTTTATTTTATTATTATTTTTTGTGAAAATGGATGTTGTAGATGTTTATATCAGAGTAGATTATTTAAAATGACTTGCATTTGTGTAAGCGGATATGTGTATAGTATGCTACTGTTTAAAAGTCTTGTGCGCTCACTGCATTTATTTCGTCCAAAAATTCTGACATATTGTGAAATATAATGTATTTTAAATTAAATATTTTAAATGACACAACTTGAATCATTTTAATATGCTGCTTTGGAGTTTAAGAAATCATTTTGGATCGCTTATGTTAAGCACAATAACAATTATTTCGTGGAACACATTGATGTTTGCAAAATGATGTATAGAAAAGCATTTATTTCATATAAAATATTTTGTAATATTGTTAATTTGTTAATTTGAACATTTATGATAAATTTAAAGCATCTTTGCTAAACTGAAAGATACTGTACTCACTGACCCTAGATTTTAAAAATGCTCAAAATTGGCCACATGAAGTTTGTTTTGAATTAAATAATAGTGATTAATTTAATTAATAGTTTAAAATGTTTCAATTCAAATGACCTTTTATAATCATTTCATTTAAGTTACAGGCAAAAGAGTGCTAGGTGATAACTTTGAGCATTTTTAACAAAAAAGTAATTCAATTATTTGAATTTGATAAATGAATTTATTAAATTAATAATCTAGTTTATAAACTTACATGCACTTAATTAAAATGAAATTATACAATTTGTATTTTAATTTGTATTTCATTATAAAAATAGCTCTTAAAAGTTAAAAATAAATAAGGTAACACTTTAGTTTAGGTCACAATTCACGCTATTAACTACTGGCTTATTACCTGCCTACTATTAAGATATTACCTGTTCTTTAGTAGTTTTAAAGTATGATCTTATTCTGCATCCCTAATCCTACTCAAAACCTAAACTCAACTACTACCAACTAACTAAAGTGTTACCAAAGATAATTGAAAATGTTATTAAATAAAAAAAGAAGAAGAAAATAATAAAAGAAAAATAGAATAATTTTACAAATTATTTTAAAATCTAACGTTAAACAAGTAGCTTTATAAAAGTCTGACATTTTCTAAATAATATTTTTGGACCATTTAATTATGGACAGTTTTCAGAGTATACAATAAATTCTTTTTTTGTCTTTACACAAGAAAGATTGGGGTCTATCTCACAGGAATTATCAAATTTAGGGATTTAAAATAAACAACATTTTGTGGTCAAATAGGTTAATTAATCAGAATGAATCTGTTAATACATATCTTGCAAGGTAACTGCATGTGGAAGCATCTAACCGAAGAGGAAAAGTTTTCATTGTTAACAGACCTCGTGTAAACTGAAAATTATATTATATATGAACTAATATATTCATTTAATGCCATCTTTGAACAATCCAACTAACATGTTGTTGTTGTTTTTTTCCCATTGCTTTCTATTTATTTCCTCTCCAAATCTCTTCCCATTCTTCTTTATGTTGTCTCGTGTATCACAGATGGTGAGTAAATGTCAAATAAATCAGCGCTTCTCAACCGACGTCTCTTAAAAGTTGCACGAAAAAAATAGCTTGCTATTTAAAGCCAATTTAGGCAGATCTCAGTCAAAGCAGTTTGCATTAACTGACCTGAATTAAGTTCCAAACCACCATGAGTATTTTTAAAATACAAAAAACAAGAAATTCTGAAGAATGTTAGCAATATTACAAGTATAAAAAAAATACAATATTGTAAGTCAGTGGCTACCGTTTTCCAACATTCACAATCAAAATATCTTCTTTTGAGACATTCAGAAGAAACTCAGCAGGTTTGGAACTATCTCTTAAGGATGTCTGATTCAATTGAAAAGTTAAACCATTTAGAGTAGGTATTGAGTGCATTGTCCCTACTTGACTCCAGTGAAATTTCTGTCCTGTGAACTAAAATCAGTTGAGAATCACTGATATCTGAATTCTCCCAGTCTCCCATTTGTCCGTCTTTTCAAATGATCCTTTCCTGCACTTTTGTCTTTCAACCCCAAATATGTGGCTGATTCTATGATTGAAGATCAATTTTGCTTTTTAAAATGTAAGTAAAAAACCTGTTCACAAGTGTTTTCGACACAATCTCAGGCAGCTTTTAACTTGGCTTTTAAACTGGCTAGTTTGCATTAATTTGTCTCATTCATATATTTTAGTATGATTTGCTCATCCCCTAACAAGGATCCCCCATACAAATTAAATCAAATGAATTTGTACCAATTTTTTTTTGTACCAAAAAGCCTTTTTTTTGTGTGTGTGTGACGTAAAAATTTCCTTGTGAGATCAGCCTTGGTGTATCAGTATCTTATTGAAACAACTTCCTTTTTTATGTTTAGACTTCTTTGGAGTATTTTGTCAATTCTGTTATTGTCAGCTTTTACTTTTACACTCTTGTTACTTTTATAATACTTTTTAAATACATGATTTCATTTTTGTCATGTGTCTCTTAGCATTTTTGCTGGTAATGTGGGATTTCTGACATAAAGCCGGTTATAAAGGCTAAGTAAGGCGATCAGCTTTGAGTTTACTCAACTTAAATCAAGTCAAGCAGTACTTGGGTTGAAAGTTGAGTCAACTCAAAAAAGCTCTGTAGCAAATTGCCTTTCAATTCTGAGTTGAGTCAACTTATTTTTGTTTACAGTGCTGTTACTTAGCCTTCATAACCAGCTTTAAGTCAGAAATCCCACATCATCAGCATAAATGCTGAGAGACACATGACAAAAATAAATCATGTATTTAAAAAGAATTCAACAAGCCAATGTAATCAGTGATTTATTCTATTTTTCTTTTGATCTTGTGGCAGCAGTAATGAAACAATGTGAACTGTTTTTTTTTTTCTAGTCATCCCATGTTACATCAGTCAAACTAACTAAAATATTTAGGGTAAACGTGTTATAATTGAAAAAAATATATATCATGTTAAGACATAATTAACTTATTAAAATGTGTTAAAGTAACATAACATTTGTCTGTCTGATCCCCATGGCTTTACAATGGTAAAAAAGAATTCAAAATTGACCCAATACAAACCATTACGATAGGCTAAGATTGGCAATGAAAATTCAGAGAAGTGGTTCGACTGGCATACTAAGAGCCGTGAAATAAAAAATAAAAAAATTCAAACATTTGTGGTCACACTTTACAATAAAGTTTGATTAGTTAATGTTAGTTAATGTATTTACCAACATGAAGTAATTATTAACAATACAGCATTTAATAATCATAATTCAATATTTACTAATGCATTATTGACATCCAAAGTCATGCTTGTTTACTTTAGTTACCACACCGTGAGGTAACATGAACTAACAACGAACTACTGTTTTTTAATAAACTAACAATAACAAATAAGTATAGATGCTGTAATTAACGTATTGTTCTTTGTTTGTTTATGTTAGTAAATGCATAATCTAACATTAACTTATACAGCCACAACTAATACTAGTGTTGCCACATTTGTTGCCTTGGCTTTTGGTACAATAAAAGAGCTATTGCAAGATTAATGGACACAAATTTGTATCAATTTACTATTTAGACATTTAATAATGTTGTCAAAAGAAAAGCACAACAAAATGTTTACATTCCACAAATGGATGGAGAAAGTACACAAATGAAAACAATAAGAAATCATGATTTTCATCTACACTACTAGTCAAAGGTTTGTGAACTTTATCTTTTTGAAATAACCTTTTCTACCAAAAATACAGCTTCAGATCTTATTAATAATACATTTTCAACTACATTCAAAAAGGAAACGGTTTATAAATTGTAATAACAGTGTGCAGTTTTACACTTTTTTTGTAGTTCGAATCAAAAGCACAGACTAAAATAAGCTTCTCTCAAAAACATTATGATCCTACACATTTGCCTATAGTATACATAAGACATTATTTTGCATAAACATATTATATTGTTAAGGCCTGTAACATATTGTGATAAAACGAAGGCACTAGAAAGCAAGTTTTCCTGCAGTTGTAGAATCAGCCGTGTGTGTGTGTGTGTGTGTGTGTGTGTGTGTGTGTGTGTGTGTGTGTGTGTGTGTGTGTGTGTGTATTCTATGTGTTGTGCTTGTTTTCGGCCTTGTGTCAGTGGTCTCTCTCTCTGACAGACAGCACTGACAGTGAGCTGGAACTGTCCGCTGTTCGCCATCAGCCTGAGGGTCTAGAGCAGCTTCAGGCTCAGACTCAGTTCACCAGGAAGGAGCTGCAGTCGCTTTACAGAGGCTTCAAAAATGTAAGACTGCTCTGAAAGGAGTTTGCCCTGTCACTGATAAAGAGTTCCCTCAAGCTCTTGTCTTGTTTGTGATAAACAGGAGTGTCCCAGTGGACTGGTGGACGAGGAGACCTTCAAATCCATCTACTCCCAGTTCTTCCCTCAAGGAGGTAAAAGGGGGGATTGTCAGATTTTTCAACTCTAATTTGATAAGTGTGGATGTAATCTGGGTTCATATAAATTAATATTGAGACCTGACATGGAAACTAGTGAATAGTTTTACTTTACATCAAATTACAATTACATGAATGCTACATATGCGTGATTCTAGAATTGTGAGTATTTTTACCTTCAAGATAAAAATTTTTTTAAACAAAACCTTTGATATGTTTTGAATAAAAGCAAGTTATCTCTCAATATTTGTGTTTTATTCGGGTTTTTTATCTTTAATATTAACTTAAAGAAGCAGCACAGTGGTGCAGTGGGTAGCATGATCGCCTCACAACAAGAAGGTCGCTAGTTCGAGCCTCGGCTGGGTCAGTTGGCATGTTTGTGTAGAACATGAACATGCTTTGCTTTTTCACCCTGTGTTGCTGTGGGTTTCCTCCGGGAGCTCCGGTTTCCCCCACAAGTCCAAAGACATGGTGAAATGGGTGAGCTAAATTGTCCATATAGTGTATGAGTGTAAATGAGTGTGTGTAGATGTTTCCCAGTGATGGGTTGCAGCTGGAAGGGCATCCGCTGTGTAAAACATATGCTGGATTAGTTGTCGGTTCATTCCGCTGTGGTGAGCCTAGATTAATAAAGGGACGAGGCCGAAAAAGAAAATAAATGCAAGAATTAACATAGACACCCACTTATGTTTTCTTTTTAAATTTAAGTTGTATGAAATAGACAAATTAAGTTGAAGTAACACAGAAAATTAAGGTGTGGTTACTAGAAAATGTAAGTTGAAGCAACTTGAAAATTTACATTTACATTTTACATTTAGTCATTTAGCAGACGCTTTTATCCAAAGCGACTTACAAATGAGGACAAGGAAGCAATTTACACAACCAAGAGCAACAATGAATAAGTGCTATAGGCAAGTTTCAGGTCTGTAAAGTCTAAGAAGGGAAGTACACTGAAAAAAGTGTTGCATGCAGAACTGTTGCAAACAATTTATTTGTGTTGAATTTAAACAAACAAATTAAGTTTAAAAATGTTCAACATAATTTGTTTGTTTAAATTCAACACAAATAAATTGTTTACAACCATCTTACGTAAAAAAAATTTGTAAATCCAAGGAGTCATCTCTGAATAATTTTTTTCAGTGTATTAGTAGTATTAGTTTTTTTTTTTTGTTTTTTTTTTTGGTACAGTTAGTGTGGTATTCAGAGAGGCAATTGCAGATTAGGAAGTGTAGTGGAGACTAAATAGTTGGTTTTTTAGTCGTTTCTTGAAAGTAGCGAGTGACTCTGCTGTTCTGATGCAGTTAGGGAGTTCATTCCACCAACTGGGCAGATTGAGCGTGAGCGTTCTCGAAAGTGATTTCTTCCCTCTTTGGGATGGAACCACGAGGCGACGTTCATTCACAGAATTTCAGTCGCGGTAACTAGAACAGTTTAATTGTAGTAACTACACTGTAAGAAATGTTGCTTAAAAGTTTTTAGTTGAATCAAATAAACTTTTCTAGTCATCTCAACTCACATCAGTCAAACTGACTGAAACTATTCAAGTTCAGGTTTGTACAGCAAAATATTTACTTGAAACATGATTAACTGATTAAAGTGAATTAAAGTTTAAAAAATAAAACATTTGTTAGCTTGACTTTTTCTCATGTACATTTTTACAGTGTAAGAAAAATGAAGTTATAGGAACTATTAAATGTAAGTTTTGCTAACTGGAAAAATTAAGTTGCGACAACTTGAGATATCTTTTTTTTTTTTTTAAAGCTGTGAGCTACTGCCAGCAATTTTGATGAATTTCACCTAAATTTGACGGCTTGCAGAAACCTTTCCTTTAGTTATATATGAGCGTACTATTCATTCATTCTTTTATTCATTTTCTTTTCGGCTTAGTAACTTTATTATTCAGGAGTTGCCACAGTGGAATGAACCGCCAACTTATCCAGCACATTTTTTTATGCAGCGGATGCCCTTCCAGCCACAACCCCTCTCTGGGAAACATCCACACACACTTATTTCACACAAACACTACGGACAATTTAGACTACCCAATTCACCTGTACCACATGTCTTTGGACTGTGGGGGAAACCGGAGCACCCGGAGGAAACCCATTCGAATGCAGGGAGAACATGCAAACTCCACACAGAAACGCCAACTGACCCAGCCGAGGCTCGAACCAGTGACCTTCTTGCTGTGAAGCAACAGCACTACCTACTGGGCCACTGCGTCGCCACATATAAATTATATCAATATATAGTTTTTAGTATAAGTTGTATCAACTAGAAAATTTAAGTTGTATTAACCATTCATGGCAGCACGGTGGCTCAGTGATTAGCACTGTCACTTCAAAGCAAGAAGGTCACTGGTTCGAGTCCCATCTGAACCAGTTAGCATTTCTGTTCTGGCATTCTGGAGTTTGCAGTAGCTGCATTAGCTGTATGAAGAAAAGAAAAGGACTAAGCGAAAGGAAAATTAATGAATAACTATAAATGTTCATTTGCAGTAACAAAAAAATGAAGTGGCTGTAACTAAAGATATAATTGTAGTTTAAGTGTATAAATTAAGTAGCACTAACAAGACCAATTAAGTTGTAGGAACAAGAAAAAATGTAAGTTGCGCAAACTAGTAAATCGTAAGTTGTGGTAACTTGAAAATTTCAATTGTGCTAACTAGAAAAAAATAAGTTGTAGTTGAAAACTTAAGATAGATCTTTAATAAAATTACTTTTTAAAATTGAATATAGTTTTCAATTTTGGAAAAGTCTAAATCAGTGGTTCTCAAAGTGTGGTACGTGTACTACTAGTGGTACGCAGGCTTCCTTCTAGTGGTACGTGGAGGAATGAAATATGTCATGTACATGCTACACACATTTCAAAATTTATCAAAAATGATGTATATAATATGCCATATATGACATATAGCCTATATTTCTGAGGTAATCTGCCACATTTTTTTTAACTGTGCGGAGTTGTAGCTGCTTTACTGGGCCTACTACACTACTGAATTTCAATACTGCTCATTTTGGTGGTACTTGGAGAGAGAATTTTTTTCTGAGGTGGTACTTGATGAAAAAAGTTTGAGTACCACTGGTCTAAATAATGTATGAATTGGTGTGTCTAATCTTTTAAATAGCAGTGAAACTGCAAAATCTAAAATGTTTGGCGAAATACATTTATTATTACCAATTGCTCTTTTCTAGATGCGACCACATATGCACATTTCCTTTTCAATGCCTTTGACATGGACAGAAATGGCTCAATACGATTTGAGGTGAGGAACATTATTAAAGACTATACTTGTCATTTCAACTTCCATATTCTGTAACTCCATTCAACTCAAACATTTTTATTTTTTTTTTATCACATATCCAGATTTTGAGAGGATAACTCCAGAAATTACTACTATTTGATTTACACTTACATCCATATGTTATATCAATATCCATATGATCTTAACAAATTGTACATTTCAGAGAATATTTACCTGAATGTAGTTTTGTGCTTATTTGGCAGGACTTTGTAATCGGCCTGTCTGTTCTGCTTCGAGGTTCGGTGACGGAGAAACTGAGATGGGCCTTCAACTTATACGACATTAACAAGGACGGCTACATCACCAAAGAGGTACAGCAGACCAGCAGAGCTCACAGACTCATGACACATTCATTAGCCATTATTAAAGGGATAGTTCACCCAAAAATGAAACAAATCTGTCATCGTGTTTATTTATCCTCCATTTGTTCTAAACCAGTATGAAGTTGTTGTGTCTTGTTGTTGTTTTTGTTTGTTTTGTTGAACACACAAGACAATATACTAAAGAAAAACTGGTAACTATTGAGTTCTGTAGTATTTGTTCTTGCTGCAGTTACGATTTAATAAGGTGTCTAAAAAATTATTGCTGGACCAGGTTGATGAGTAGAAATGAACAAGGAGATGCCAAAGTAACATTAATTCCCATAGTCAAACTACCAAGGCCAACAAATAATAGCGACATGGGAGCTATTTGCAATGTAGGAACAAATTATTTTAAAAAAACACAAAACAAAAAAAGTACAATATAACTTATGTGGGGAAAAGCTACTAGAATGATGCCAAAGCAACGAAGTAAACAAATCCAAAAACCAATCAAAAAAAATAATATATATATATATATGAAAAAGAAACCAAGACCTGATTGAGGGAAACAGAGAGGGCAAGAGACCTAGTGAATGTAGCTCTGACTATGGATGTCAATGGATTCCAACATTATTCAAAGTATATTCTTTTAAACAAAGGAAAACAAAAAACTCAAACTGGTTTTGAACAAGTCACAGGTAAGTAAAAATGATAAACAAGTTTACATTTTTGAGTGAACTATCCCTTTAATTCTGGCTCTCTGCAGGAGATGTTGGCTATCATGAAGTCTATCTATGATATGATGGGCAGATACACTTCTCCTTGTGTCAAAGATGACGCTGCTTTTGAACATGTGGAGAAATTCTTCCAGGTAAACACTTTACGAGTCGCATATAAAGTTTTCTTTTCAATGGTCTTCTGAAAATCTGAAGAACACTTTGGTTTACAGAAAATGGACCGAAACAGGGACGGTGTGGTGACCCTTGAGGAGTTCATCGAGACCTGTCAGAAGGTATTGGAGGACAGAGAATCAAATCACATCTTGTATGATTGAAGAGTTCATTGTTTGCTGTCCATTTCAAAGCTGTAATTCACAAATCAAGTTAGAAAAGCAGATTTTGCTTGGGGGGAAAGTATAACACCACACTTTTAAGCATCTTCCATGCAAATGGGCATTTCAAAAAGAGATGGAAAATGATCATTAAGTATTAGGTTAGAATTGATTTGGCTGTAACTGGACTAACATTGTAATGTACGTGGTAATTAGAGGAAATCAAGAATATATGAGCTTTTTATTTATTGTTTTCATGTCTTTAGCTGTTTGAATTATTTATTACTATTTATTTAATGAATAAAATTATTAAAAAGCATTCCCCAAAACAAGCTAATTATGACATTTTTAAAATACTAATACAGGACAACAGAATATAGCAATTTGAATGAATGCACAACAAATGAATGCATTATAAATTAGCTCATGAATATATTATTTAGATGCCAATAAGAAGATAAAAATAGTCATTATACTAATAGTTTAAATACTGAACTCTGAGTTGTTTGGCTTAAAGATTTCAGACAAAAGCTGTTATATACACCTGTCAGTTTTAATATTTAAGGCTTATGGACTTTTCATAATGTTTTTTTTTTTCAGTCTAACAAAAAGAAAACATCCACACACACACACACAAAACTTTTATGGGTTTCTTTGTCTGTAGATTTCAATTACAGTACATGTTTTAAAGGTCATTTTCTCTTTTTTGTCATTTGTCCTTTACTGAGCACTGTAAAAAACTCTTCTCTTTAACTAAATGATGAAATGTTAATATATCAATTTTTAAAGTATTAACATCTACATTTTACATTTGTAATACATGCACAAAAAACAGCACCCATAATGGCAACAAGCAGAAAATCGCATAATATGTGTTTATATTTGATATTTGAATGTTCAGCAGTGTTATTCACACAACTGCTGAACACTATCATGGTACACTAAATTAATGAAATAAACATTATTTATCAACATTACATGTAACATAAAACTCTAATATTCATAAATAATTTAAAGTATGACTAATAAAAAACTGTAATGTCAACCACAACAACAAAAAAAAAAAATGAACTGGGTAACACATTTTCACTGTGAATCTTTTATTTTCACCAGAGCCATAATTTACAGAGCAATAAATCTCCTAACACCAAACTGTACAGTTTGATTCATATTATTTACTCGTATTTCTAGGGGGTTTTTAGAGTAAGATTTGTTCATACATAATTTACCTGATTATGTAAAAAATTTTGTTTTAAAAAAATATATAGTGTTTTTTGGGGGGAGGAGGGGGTGTTCACCATATTTAGAAAATTTTAAGTTATAAAATTAGATTTTTTCACAAATTAGATTTTTTTAAAAACTAAAAAACATATGAAACAAAAAATCTAAATAAATTCTTCAAAAAATGTATCATGCACTCATCATATTAATCATCTACTATTCAGATTTTTTTGCCACTAGAAATATATGTAAAGTAGTGCATAATTAATTAAAGCCTCATTTAATTAAAGCATAGCCTCATTTGCATATTTAAACTCAGCATTTTAGAAAACCTGTTTTATTAAAAAAAAAAGTGATTCCTAATCAATTACCCGGAGAACAATAATGACAGCTGTTGTATCTTTTTTCCCATTTTCTTTTACTCCCACCAGGGGTATCTTTAATCCAGGCTTATTCTGGAAATGTACCTCTATATTTGTTTTTGGTGAACACAAAATACGTCCCAGGAGCTGTTTTTTTTTTTTGCAGTTTTTGTTTTTGCGAATCCACCAGAGGCTGCTATGTACGCTTTTTTAGATCTCAATTTTCTCTCTTGAGTGCCATTCGTTCCTGCTGTTCTTGTGTAAATCTATCAGAGGTCGCTGTCGACTGACTGTTTGACTGATTGAATGACTGATCGACTGACCCACCCTCCTCCTTCCCTAAACCAACCAATCCGCTTGTTAAGTCGTGAGGTATCGGTGACATATGGAATACTGTTTCCTGGTCCAAACCACTACTCATTTGAATTGAGAAAATATTCGTTTATGACCATGTTTTAGTCCTATCACACATTAAAGTGAATTTTAGATAAAATCATGGTATACACAACAGTCTCTGAACTTGCTGCATCACAAATACCAAAATGTTAACAATTTATTAAAAAAAAAAAAAAATCACTTTTTTGTCCATCGGATATTAGGCATAGATATATATATATATATATATCGAAATTAACCTTTTTGCTTGGTAGCACCTGTGCTCCTAACTTTAAAAATTTAGGCGCATCAGCCAAAATTTTGTCGCACCCACCAATTATGAGCACCGTTACTACAAGTTTTATACAAACATATTTATTGTATTTGAAATCAACACTAATCAAACTAACAAGCAAAATATATATATATATATATATATATATATATATATATATATATATAAATGCAGGCGTGAGGAAAATATGTCTCAACGAAATCCCGTTATTACAAGAAAATAGATTTTTATAACAGAACTGAGTGAGCAAAAGATACAAAGAGCGCTCACCGGCCCTCCACACACTTAAATGAATCTGTTAAGGGTATAACTGTGCTGTTCTCACAAGTGCTGTCTGATATTGCACTAATGCTTTTGACACATATTGTAGCTTATTATATGGATACATGTTAATAGCAATACCGGTTTATTTTTATGAGTAGCGATATTAGTTTACTCAATGCAAGCCCGTTCGCGATGGTGTACGTGGTGTTCAATTTGACATATAGCTGTCCCTTGCATGGCAGACAGCATCTGGCGATTATATGAAGGATTAAACAGAAGCTCTTGTGCTAGATGTGGCAAACAGTTACCTGAAAACTCCATCACACAGACTTTTTATAGCGGACTTGAAGCCAATGGAAGTCTTCTAACGTTACTCTTGGAAAAGTGTAGATAGTGGATTAACATTTAGCACATGATCACTACTAAGATGTTTTAGTATTTATAACTTTAGATGTCATGGTTTCTAAAACAAAATCTGTCAGTGTTATCTTCATTCTCCTCTTCAGCCCTTTACAATTTTTCACGGTAGCAGCTCTCTCTCTGTCATCCCAAGCCAGAAGCGCTGACTGAGTAATTGACAGCTGATATTAACCAATCATTCGCGTTCAGTGCTAGAGCAGTGGGCCAATAAGAAGAGCGTGAAGGCGGGGCACGCATAACGGACTTGGATTTGTTTACTGCAGCAAGTTGACATGACAACTGTTTTAAACCATTCCCGAGCGCTGCGTTTCGCGTTGCAAGTGCAGAGATGCATTCTGTGTGAATGTCTCCCGAATCCGCGCATGTGGTGATAATTTTACAGTAAAAACTGGTCGCACATAACAATTTTAAGCACTCGCAGAAATGCTCCCAAATATATTTTAAGGTCGCATAGATAAAATTTCGAGCGCATTTGCGACCAAAATGGTCGCAATTTCGAGCCCTGTATATATATATATATATATATATATATATATATATATATATATATATATATATATATTAAGGGTGTAACGATGCGGGTTTTCGTATTGAAGCGTTTGGTACGAGACTTTCGGTTCGGTACGCATTGCAAACCGAATTATTCGATTCAGACTAATATCTAATAAGATAAAAGGGAATAAGTACAAAATATAATGTTGTCAGTGCAACAACCCTCAACATGGCATCCCAAATGACGTAGCAGACAACATTCTGCCTTCGCGCTTTCATGTTAAACAGTAAAACTTAGCTTTTGAACTCAGAATATCACTTTATTAAAGCATGCACTCGTTAGCAATATTGCGGCCTTCTGTGTGCTAGCCTGCTCGCGCTGGCTCCACCCACATTGCCCCAGCAACCCTGGCCCCCGACACAAAACAGCCAATCTCAATAACCTGTTCACATATCACTACAACAGCCCACCTCCAAACCCACCTCAAACGCTACTCCAGTCAGGCACGCGCTACACTAGCTCGCAAAAATGGCTAGTAACATTAATGTAATCTTAGACGTCCCAAGTCTCCCGGAAGTTTTGAGAGTCTCCCACAAATGCATAGAGACTCCGGGATGCCCGCAAACGAATCATAACCTTCCAGAAATCGCGCATACATCCTCCCCCTCCCCAACACCCCCAACGGTCCTTAAATACATCACACACCCCTCTTCACCACATCCCTCCCAGCTCTTCAGGTACGTTGGGCACAACTCCCCCCTCATCAACTGGACACTCATCTTTCTGAAAAAAAATAGGTCGAAACTGAAAAGCTCCATTTACAAACTCAATTGTTCTTTTTTTTTTATTTGTTTAATTACTACAATAATACATTTCTTTTTATAGGAAGCTTTTTGGTTTTGAGTATAAAGAAGGATTTGTTTTATTTGCTGCTAAGCAGAAACCCCTGAAGTATAGCTCAATCACTGTTTAAATTAAAAGAAAAAACTAACAAGATCATACTTTTATGATGTTAGTTTTAATACATAAAAAATTTAAAACACAAAAATCTTCTGGCTTTTTTCTTTTATTGCTGTATTGAAAAAGTACCGAACCGTGACACCATTGATTTTCGTGATTTTCGAAAGTATAATTTTTTGTTTTACTTTTGCTTGTGTTAAAATCATTATTCATACAGTCATTATTTTCAGTGAGCGAAAAATGTATACACCAAACTTTACGACTTAATTCACATTATTTACTCATACTGTATCCTCAGGGTATTCACAGAGGCATTTGCTCAAACATTATTTGGCTATTTCCTTTGCATATCTAAACATAACATTTTAGAAAACTAAAAAAAGGTGATTCTTAATTTAATCAGTAAATGGAGAAGAGAGATAACTATTCATTGTTTTTTTCCCATTATTTTGTACCCCCTCCAGCAGTAATCTTGCCTTAAAGCAAAACAACAACAACAACAATAATAATAAAGCCCTTTATAAAGCTCATATAAAAAGCTGGCCATCATCCAGACAGACGCATGAGAGTGAATGTCAGATAAATGTCAGATTTGCGTTGGAACGGAGGTTGTTTCTGTCAGCGTGTGACAGCCAGACATTTTCTAAACTCTCTCTTTCTCTCGAACAATAATCCTGGACTGACGCTGTTTCTCTTTCATCAGGACGAGAACATCATGAGCTCCATGCAGCTGTTTGAGAACGTCATCTAGAGCTCAGCATGAATGATCCTCCATCAAACTCTCTTCACACACACACACAGACACTTGTGTTTTCTGTTATCTCCAGCATGTGAATGAGTCTTTTGATTGATTGTAATGAATGCTGTGCACAGTTGTCTGCGAGAGGGGATACTGCAGTATGTTGCCGTTTCGATGCTCATTTGTATATATGTAGATAATGTCTGTGCTCTTCAGTTTCTGCCTGGTTTAATGAACGTTCGCATGTTTGCCTGCTGTTTGTCTGAGCCGTTGTCATTTTGTACAAAGGAATAAAGGCAAATGTGAATGAATCCTTCATGTGTGGATGTTCTTACAGTGGTGTGTGAGATATTGATATTGATATGATATTGATAATAATACATTTGATTTGAAATTAAAAACAAAAAGTGAAATTGAGGGCAATGCATCCCAACCTAATTATTATGTTCTTATCATATTTTATTTATTTAATCACATTTTATTGGGACAGACAGACAGACAGACAGACAGACAGACAGATAGACAGATAGATAGATAGATAGATAGATAGATAGATAGATAGATAGATAGATAGATAGATAGATAGATAGATAGATAGATAGATAGATAGATAGATAGATAGATAGAGAGAGTGAGAGAGAGAGGTGGGGGGCTCAAAAATTGCATTTCTTGTTTGTTCAAATGATATTTATATATGTAAAATTAGCTGAAACAATACAATTTTTGACTCTTGAGCTTTCCGGGGGGACAGCTTAATTGTTTTATGTTCAATCAACTTACATTTGTAAAAAAAAATAATCATTTAATCTAATTCCTTTATGTTGTCCTAACAAATCAATTGTTACCTAATTTATGTTGTACATACACAACTTGACTGGATAGAGAAACTCACAAATTTATGACGTTTGCTGTTTGTTCAAACTACTAAAAAATGAGCTGAAACAACACAATTTTTTTTTTTTTGGGGGGGGGGGGCAACTTAATTGTTTTATGTTATGTTCTGTTGTTTTATCAACTTCTCATAAAACAATGTTTTGTGAAACAAATCATAAAAACTGATAAGTTAATTCCTTCATGTTGTCCCAACACAAAACGATTGTGGAACCCTAGATAGATAGATAGACAGACAGACAGACAGACAGACAGACAGACAGACAGACAGACAGACAGACAGACAGACTGACTGACTGACTGACTGACTGACTGACTGACTGACTGACTGACTGACTGACTGACTGACTGATTGATTGATTGATTGATTGATTGATTGATTGATTGATTGATTGATTGATTGATTGATTGATTGATATTTTTACAGTATATATCAATAGATATATACATAGATTGCTCTTATTGTTTGATTGTATTCACCGGTACGGTTTTACAATGGCATCACTCTCTGAACAAGAGATCAAGATTAACGTCGTATTTACTTTAGCTTCCACAAGGCGGCGATCCTTCGCTCAACTTTTTTTTTCTTTTACCACAGTTAACTGATGACAGTTTGGTCAAACACGAAAGCAACCTTTCCATCTAATCATTGTTCTTCCGCACTTACCCGAACAAAGAGTCTTCATCTTTTTTTATTCAGCTCCCCTGTGTGCTTCATGAATGAGAACATACAGTGTTCATAAGTACAAGAGTGTCATAAACATTACAACCTTTAAACAGCTTCCTCTTTCCTCAGGTAGCTTCCTTCAGCATTAAAAACCCACCCTTTCAGTTCTCCATGTTAAACACTGTGCCTTTTGAAAATGTTGAGATTTTTTGAGGACAGGGATTCCTTTATTGTGGTGAAATTATAATTTCTGCACACCCAGCAGATTTTATAGACATGCCTGGCCACTATATTAGGTACGCCTGCTAATGCACATTTATGTTTATGCATTCAGGAGACCTTTTTATCCAAAGCAACTTTTTTTTTTATCAGTTCTTGCCTTCGGTGTGAATCAAACCTGCAAGCGTGATATTAGCCTACCAAGTGCCATGCTCAACTATTTGAGATACAGGAAGGGTGATCAGCCAATTACATGTACCTCTGTGAATTTAGGCATAGATATGTAGCTGGTCAGGTTTAAATAGGGCATCAGAATGAGGAAGTAAGACCATTTAGGAGGCTTTAAATATTACTATTTACTATTATTATTAAAACTATTTATCATTTTATTTTATTGTATGTGTTTAAGTAGAAACTATTTATAGATTTTATTTATTTATTTATTTATTTATTTTTTACTATTGCCCTAAAATCCATGGTTAAAAAAAAAGCTGATGAATTATCTGATGTACTGGGATTTTTACACTTGAATCATCACATTTACAGCCAAGAATGATCTGACAAGTAGAAAATATCCAGTGAGTGGCTAAAAATGTCAAAAGAAAATGTCCAAACGGTTTCAACTGATAGAAAGACAACAGTAAAAGAATGCTGGTCCATAGTTGGAATAAAGCTGGCACAGCAGGCAACTATCCGCCATGTGGGCCAGGACCTGGGTTTGCTGAGGTGGCACCATCTTTAAGCTGGCACAACACTTGGGCCAGATGTAAAATGTAGTATTTGGCCCAGATGTTAAAAATTGATATGTGAGCCACTTAAGTTTGGCCTATCTTGACCCACATTTAAAAAACATTTAAATTATATTTGACCAAAGAAAAAAATGTAAGCAATCAGGTGACTTCAAGAAAAAGTACACCCATGGAGCGCCTAAAGCACAATGCTTATTATGTGTTATTAACTTTGCCCAGATATGGTCTATGTTTGGCCCTTGTCTGGAAGCCAGACTTGGTCCAGTCATGTAACATAATTCACTGCGACCTGTGTGCCAATCAAAGCTGATTGTGTAATTTTGCTATGTAGAAGAGCATCACATTAAACCTTGATGCAGAAGAGCTACAGTAGCAACAGAAGAGGAAAAGACCAGTGACTCTCTTGTCAGATACAACAGCAAACCGAGCATTCAATTCACAAAGGCTCATCAACAAATATATAATAAAAGATTGGAGAAAAGTGGCTTGGTCACAGTATTTTATTTTATTGTAATTTTATTTTTTATGGGCATTCATTCATTCATTCGACTTGGTTTTTGGACTGTATAATCGTAATTTAGTGTAAACAATGTAAAAGCATCATTCCTGCCAGGTATCAACGGATCAGGTTTGTGAAGTAATGGTGTGGGAGAGATTTCCAGACAGTGTTGTTCTTTTGAAAATGCAGTTGAGGGGCTACTTTCTTAACATGCCGCAGCCACCAAAATATTTATACAATGAATACAATATGACCCATAAAATGTTGCGAGCGACTCACAGCTTTTATTGCCACTTTTTAAATGAGTGTAACGTCAGTGACACCCACATTTCAGAAAGGTACTTAGAAGTGTTGTGTTATGTGCAAAAAGTCAGTCAGTACTTTAACACATGGGTATTACAAAAAATCTGAGTAGACATGGTAAGCCTTTCCATTGGAATCCTTAAAAAATTGGCTACTTTTCATTCTATTTGTGAGGGTTTTAAGTCTCAATGGAGTGGAAAATGTTCTTAGACCTGGCAACCCTGCCTTCTTGGCACACTTTGGGCCAATTAGTGCCAACCGCACATCATTTAAACACCACAATGATGCTTGAACATTCTTGCTGACCATGTTCATCTTTTCATGACCACAGAGAACCCATCTTCTAATGCTACATCCATAAGGAAAACACACCATGCTCAAATCATCTCAGATCGGTTTCTTGATCATCACAAGGAGTTCACTATCCTCAAATGGCCTCCACGGTCAATTCACAGTCACCCAAGACCAGGGGTGCTCAATCCTGTTCCTGGAGATCTACCTTCCTGTACAGTTTAGCTCCTACCCTGATCAAACCCACCTGAACCAATTAATTAGGACCTGAAATCTACTTGATAATTACAAACAGGTGTGTTTGATAAGGGTTGCAACTGAAATCTGCAAGAAGGTAGATCTCCAGGAACAGGATTGGCCACCCCTGCTCTAGACAAACACATTTTGGAATGTGCTGGAATGGGAAGTTAATGTCATGATTATTCAGCCAACAACAGCAGCAACTGTGTGACATGATCATGTCAGTTTCCAGCAGCTTGAATTTATGCCACAAAGAATCAAAGCTGTCCTGAGAGCAACTCAATACTTGCAAGGTGTACCCAGAGGTGTAAAAGTAAGTGAAAGTACAAATTCTGAGCGAAAATAATACTCAGTTGAAAGTAGAAGTATATACAAAAAAAATTTCCAAATACTTAAAATTCCTATAAGTACAGTAATCAAGTAAAACTCATCAAGTACTGTACACCTCTGGGTATAAAGTGGCTAATAAGAGTACATGTATATTCCTTCCATGCATTTACATCAATCTATGACTCTTTTGTATTTATGGGATGAGTGTTGCCTTATGAAAATGTAGAAGTGATCCTAGGGAACTGCAGTGCTGCAGGCTTCATATAAGAGTACTGACTTTCAGAAGAAACACATTAGTCTGGAACTACTTTCATTTACATCTATGATTCTCTTGTGGGACGATATGTTAACATCTGCCCCCAATCTACATTCCTGTTTATGTGTTCAGCCAAGCGCACTTCCTTTCTGGCCCAGCAAACCACCCGAGCTCTGTCTGGGTCTCTGTGCTGGTGATTATCTTGGCCTGTGTGCTGAATTGTGGTTGGGGGCAGTGTGTGCACATATATCTGCGGCATATGGGAGGAAGTCTGACCCTAGTCGGAATAGCTGTGACTTCCTGACTGAGCGTTTGCAACGAGGAAGAGTCTCGCAGGGAGGGGCGAAGTTTCTTTAACTTGTCAACGGCACACTTTCATCCACGACACTGCCGTTTTCATGGTGACCGGCTGACTTCCAGCACTTTCCTCACTGGTACCGTCATCTTCTCTGATGTCTGAGCGTGAGGCCGACTTGGTTCTGCGTGCTTTGCTGGATTCCTGCACGTGCTGCTTGCACAGTAAGACACCTGCTTTGACATCCTGACCTTTACAGTTATGTTACCCAAAATATCAGAGTATAAATTAGGATCTTTTGCTGCATTTTAGGTTGAAAAGGTGGTTTAAATTTAACTTCAGCACTTCAATTTATTGCTTGGTTTTAATGTACTAGTCATTTTTGTTAATTCGTTTTTACATTAACAGTAAAAAGCAAATTAATGCTTTGAGAATGTTGTGCTAAACGTGTTTTAGGGATGATTTTCTAATATTACTCTGTTATAATGTAGTCTGAGTCTGAATGTTCAATATATCTTAATAAACTTTTAGTTTTATGCCTCGTTCATGCAAATGTTATGGAAACATTCTATTTTATCAATCAGCAAACATTAAGGGGACTTTTGAACATTCTCTGAACATTATAAAACAAGAAGAAGCATTTTTAAATGTCGCTTTGCACTAGTAACAAACGTTATAAAGATAACCGTAATGATAACGTAACAGGGCTCAACAATAAGGACTGCCCGATGGCCCGGGGCCAGCGTGTGAGATGCTCGGGACAGTAGACAGGATCGTTACTGGCCCGATCGGGCCACTGATGCCCTGTCACTAAAGTTTAATTTGCCTGTGACTATTTGTCAATTGCGTGAAAAAACAGTCCGATTAGAGAAACCGTTTGCGTTTTTAAGTCTTCGAATTCTACCTTCTCGGTTCCTCTTATCTGATTGGATATTGTGAGCATGTTATTTTTTTCGTAACAACCAGTACAGCGAAGAGACAGCAACATGGCGGCATCATCAAGTGATGATGCTAAAGGAAAATATTTATTTTTAACATCTTGGAAGCAAACGTTTATGAGGGTACGCCACGAATGAAGTGATGTTTTCTACAGTTTGCCGTCAGTTTGGCAGGTCAGCCATCTTTTGTTTTGCAAAACACTTTGAATTTTGCTCATTACACATTTATTAACATTTTTTAAATAATTAAATTCTAGATTTACAAACATTTTGACACATTTATTTTTTAAATTTGTGGCTAAGAAATAACTATTGACTTTTTTTTTGTTAGGGCCAGTGAAAATATTGGAAGGGCAAGTAAAAATCTCAACCACTGGTCCGATTGGGCCAGTAGAAAAAATCCTTAGCGTTGAACCCTGCGTAATGATTTTTAATTTATGTTTTTCTCTTCATTATATACTGAGATAACTGCATCAGATAAATGCTAAAACTCTTTAAAGCAGAATAGATTCTGTTGTCATTGTTTTTGTGATAAATAATCACGGTGCCGTAATCATCCTAGTTATTGGCATTTTCCTATTCTAGTTTGTCATTATCTTGATCATTACAGCTCTTGGTGTGAACAGGTCTTTAGAAAAGCATCCAACAAAAAAACATTTTAGACTAAAATATCTATAAATGAAGTTTAAAAGAAACAATTGTATTGCACATTATTATACTCAATCTGGAAACACAACACTATTCCACTCAGTGTGGAAAACAATCATTTCCACAGATATAGGAAAGTGTTTTGTTTAAAAAGCCACAGTTAATGCACTGTAAAAAATATATATTATCAATTAGCCCTGACACAGCATACTGTATGTTTTTAAGTCATTGTTACTTATCAAACTTAAAAATAACCTAAAGTTAATCATGTTCTAGCTTAATTTTATAAGTTACGCAAGCTGTTTTAAGTCAGTTCAACAAATTATAAGTTCAATGGACTCATAAGGTTAATTTGATTCAGCTTAAAAATTTAAGCTACCTTAATTACTTGTTGGTACATGTTGTAGATTAATTTATTAATTAACATTTACTATAAGCTAAATATAACCAACATTTACTTATAACCTGTTAATCTTTAATTATGTCACAACTTTACTTGCAGGGGCACATCACCATTAACTCATCCTTAACTACACATGAACTTCTGTGTTTTAACCTTCCATGTTGATGTTGAAAGACTGAACACTTTTCTATTGTTATACATTGTAAACCCAGTAGTTGGATGTGCATAAGAAGTTCATGAGTAGTTAAGAATTGATTAATGATGATGTGCCACTCCAAGTAAAGTCAAGATATAATTATACATTAACCTGTTATGAGTTCATGATGGTTTAACTAATGTGCTAATTAATATATTAATTAACAAACAATCATGTACTTACAAGTAATTAAGGTAGCCGTTATTCACACATGAACTCGCATGACTCATGTTGTAGTCAATGTTAGTTCATGATTAGCGCATACATTAACTCATCATTAGTCCATAATAAAGTAATGTTTAGTTTACATATTAACAAATCATTATTCATGTACTGTTATTGTAAAGTTACTGAAAATAGTGTGAACAAGTGACAGACTTCAACCCCAGCTATAGCTTCTTGTAGGACTGAGACGCTTCAGGTTTTAGACAGCATTTGATTGATGAGAAGCTGAAGTGCAAAGTAGAGCTGCATGATATTGAAAAAAATCTGCCATTGCAATATTTTGTTTTGCTGCGATATATATTGCAATACGAATATAATAGCAAATATTAAAGTAAAATAAATAGTACTTGATGATTTTCTGGGAAGTCTAACAGTATTCAGATGTAGAAACCGAACAATCCCATGTAAGTTAACATAGTCATCATGACTGTATAAACAATTGTGTACAATAATATTGTTATTCTTTAATAAATAAACTAATTCTGCGCTGTGACTATTGCGGATACACACGTTGCGATAATGATGCTCAAATGATATATTGTTCAGCCCTATAGTGCGAAGTGATTTCAGCAATATCACTGATGATAATGCATGTAGCCATCTAGTATCTTCTACATACAAATTCCCAATATAGAAATCTTGAAATATATGCAAATTACAAATACAACATATGAGTTCATATTTGCGATTGCGAAATTGATGCTTAAACGATATATTGTATACATACATAGGATTGTAAGTTAACACACATGACTGTATAAATAATTGTGTACAATAATATTGGTATCCTTTAATAAATAAACTAATTCTTCACTGTGACTATTGCGGATACACACGTTGCGATATTGATGGTCAAACAATATATTGTTTAGCCCTATATATATATATATATATATATATATATATATTTTTTTTTTTTTTTTTTTTTTTTTTTTTATTGCTAAAATGGCAGAGTTTTTTTTCCCAGTCGTTCATTGTTAAAGATTTCTATGACATTATACAATATGTTACTGTATTTAAAAGACTGAATTGTGAAAATTACTGTATATTTAACAGTAAAGATATACAATACTGTAAGTACATATAGCCAAATAAACAGTGCTGTAATTACAGTATTTGCTATAACTGATTTACAGTAAGTTACTGTCGAACTGCTGCCAGTAAGTTACTGCAAATATGTACATACTGAATATACACAAAATTATAGCCCATGTCAGATTATGCTACAAACACTGTATTTGAATGGTTCTGAGGTTAGGGTTAGGGATTATGTAGGTAAACATCACATTTAAATTTACACTGGTAGCAAAATCTGATGGGTAGTATAATGGGTCATCAAAATGTACTACCTACAGTTGAAATCAAAATTACTAAACCTCCTTTTAATTTTTTTTATATATATAATATAATATTTCCCAAATTATCTTTAACAGAGCAAGGAAATTTTCACAGTATGTCTGATAATATTTTTTCTTATTTGTTTTATTTAAGCTAGACTAAAAGAAGTTTTAAAGCATTTAAGGTGAATATTATTAGCCCCTTTAAGCTATTTTTTTCAATATAAATGTACAATAACCTAATTAATTACTCTATCCTGCCTAGTTAACCTAATTAACTTACTTACGCCTTTAAATGTCACTGTAAGCTGTATAGAAGTGTCTTGAAAAGTATCAAGTCAAATTTTATTTACTGTCATCATGGGAAAGATAAAATAAATCAGTTATTAGAAATGACTTAATACTATTATGTTTAGAAATAAACAGAAATTGGGGAAAAAATAACAGGGGGGCTAATAATTCTGACATTAACTGAACTTTTTGAATGGTAGGTGGGACAATCTGACAAAGTAGGACAAATCAACAGAACCGGGTCTAAAAAGATTACAACTATGTTGTTCTTCATGATTTCTGGTGGACAAAGAATGGTTTATAACTGTTACTCCTTTAAATTACCAAGGAAGATGAAGTTGAGCCATTCTAGCATTATGGATGTGGCATTTGCAGTAAAAACTCAAAACATAAATTCACATAGAGAGCATATGTTAACATTATATTGAAACTTTTGTTTATATTTTCCAGAATAACTGACAACAGAGTTACAGGACCAGAGAAATATCAATCTGTAAACATACTTTGTATTTTAAACATGGAAAATCACATTGGTAAATCAAATAAAATTGTTTAAAAACATTGACAGAGACATTTTGGAGTATTTCACTGTAAAATGCTTACTCACACAAAAACCCAGAAACTGTTTCCGTATTTTGGCGAAAACTTAATTTTTTCATGGCAAGGTTGACATTTGCACGCAATTGCTCAGTTATATCAGTAAATTGAAATCAAATTTAATAATAATAGACCTTTTTTTCTGTGTTTACAGGCTTTAATAGATTGATAGTATGTTTTGAGTTTGTTTAGCTTATTTATTTTTTGTTTTTTGTCGAGTTTGAGTGTGTGTTTCTGTGTGTGGGAATCTTGCCTGAGGTTATTTTGCGATTATGAGGCTTGAAGTCATGAGTTTTTCTTCTGGTCGCAGATAAACTTCATTACTTCATTCTTCCGTGTGTCTCCACTGACCCGACATGGAAAGTGTGGATTCAGACAAGATCCAGGTTGGAGAAAACAAATTTGTCAGCAAGTAAGTGCATCTCGTTGTGTGACTGTAAGCTTTCTTATTATCACTGTTTTCTTATATATGACATCACTTCCTTTTCTTTTTTTGGTCGCAGGAGTGTTATTCTCTCACATCTCAAAACATATAACGTGTATTTTGAAGGAGATGCCCTTCAGTTGAGACACAGAGAGGTTGGTTATTTGGCAAGCTATAGTCTGTTGTTTTGATGTGTTACACCACCAATGACTGTGATGTTATGTGGCTTTTAAAGGAGGAAGGAGAGCTGGTCATAGAGGGTTTGCTCAATGTTTTTTGGGGTGTGCGTCGACCAATCAGATTGCAGATGCAGGACGAGAAGGAGACTGGCAGGCCACGCCCCTTAGTGACACCACTGGACATCAATACAATAAAGTCAGATATTAACAATATGCTAACATGAGATTAATGTTATAGAAATGTATGTTTGCCTTGTTTTTAAAAAAATACATAAGGATTTATATGCTTGTTCTAAATTTTGGGGTTGGTAATATATTTTTTTAAAAAGTCTCTTCTGCTTAGCGTGTACAGGATTTGGTTTAGCGGGAAGTTATTTGGTTACAAAAAAACTGAAAAAAGAGAATAAATAATATTGTGAATGTAATAATTTTATATTTTGAGTTTTTCCATTTTTAAATAAAATTGTAATAATCTGATACAAAAACAGAGTTTACTGGAGCCATTCACTTCAGTTACATTATATATTTTTTTTTTTTGTATTATTATTATTGTAGTTATTATATAGTTGATTGGTTAGTTGTGTTTTAGGAATATTTACTATTATTTTTATATTAATAACAATATTTTTATTCAAAATGGAATAACTCTGTTCTGAAATTAATTTCACATAATAATAAATTACTAATAAATTTGTACTGAACATATAAACTTATACTGTTATACACATATATGTATGTAATATTTATTTTATTATTTGATCAACCCAAAAATCAAAAGTCTATCTCAAAAAATAAAAAGAATTTCAGTTCACCCAAAATCTAGAAGACGAAAAACACATTAAAAGTCTTGTCCCCTGGATTTTCACTGTAAATGTGTGGCTGTAGGTGTAATTTTTGTTGTGATGGATGCAAAACAAACAAAAAAATCTACTTTAATAAACCTTTTTACCTTGTAGAAGTAACGAAACACATCAGCCGCCAGTTTCCATTGAGGTCACCGCAGCAGAAGAGCGGTCGAGAGACTCCAGTGAAGAGAAGCAGGAGGCAGGTCAATACTTTCCTCCACTTCTCCCAAAACCTCAGCAGTGTTTATTCATTGCCAACTGTTCCTCTGACTCCTCGTAAATTTGTTTTTGTCAGGAGAAGGACATCATGAGTCGACTCTTTCTGATCGGCTCAACAGAACCAGAAGTGATGTCAGTGGCAGGAAAATCGGCGGACGACGACTCGGAATCAGGAGAGTCCAAAGACACCGGTGCTCCTTCAACGGACACTTTTATAACCACAAGGCAGGCGTTTTGTAAAATCGTTTACACTTTGGTAAACATTTGCCCACTTTTGCTGACGATGTTATTTGTCAAATAGACGGCGGTTTTTACTCCAGCGGTCGGCTCTGTGACGAATGTGCGCGTCAACAGCTGTATGACGACATCACAGGTGATGCGGGTGTTACTGAACAAGTTCAAGATCGAGAACAGTCCGGATGAATTTAGCCTGTATCTCGTCCACACAAGCGGAGGTACATCTAGACTCAATTTAGATCTTGTTATCCACATCTGCACGTGGCTACTGCGTTTCAAATTGTACTTTAACTTGTACTTTTGGCTGGAGTGGATTTAGTTATTCGGGGCCTGTAATAGTTTAATGAACACACTTGACTTAACAGAGCAACAGGATCACCTTTATTCTAGCTGAAAACATGTGAAGAACTTGCAAAGCATCATGGGTCGCATTGACCCCTTACCTCTCAATGTCATGACATAGTTCTTAAAGCTATACATACATTATTGGGACCCAAACCATTTTCAGCCATAGGGTCCATTTTGTGTGTGTTTAACTTTTATGCTACACTACTCCTATTGAACATGTCATTGACACTGCTGTGGTAAAACTTATGTTTTATGGGTTTTCATGGGTTGATGAATATAATTTGTTAATTCTAATAAATTATTTTATTATTTGGTGGATAAACCATGAGATTGACAATACTTCACTTTAACAGAAGCTACCATAATTCAAGCAAAGCATCATGGTGTCAATGGTTTTCTTTTGTTTGTGCAAGATAGTTCATTTTCATTTTGTCATTTAGAGAGGCATCAGCTGAAGCCCAATGATCATCCTTTGCTGGTTAGAGTTTTGCAAGGCCCTTGTGAACAGGTCAGCAAAATGTTTCTTATGGAGATGGACCAGGTGGAGGAGGTCACATATGATGTAAGAGACCAAATATCTCTGTCTGTTTGTCTATCTGTCTGTCTAACTGGCTGACTGATCATCTAGTCAAAATTAATCATCTACATATTTATAAAATCTAATAAGCACAATTCAACTATTAATAAATATTTACATTCTTTTTTAGAGGAAGAACATATATAATGCATTGCAGTAAAAGAATAAACAAAAATAATAATAATAATGCAAAAATTAATGCTTATTTATTTATTATTTTTATAGGGTCATGGGGAATGGGAAGCCAAATTACTCAAATGTAATTGTTAAGTGAATATGGATATATTTAAATAAATAATGATGAAACACATATTTGAATCATAAATTAAACAATTAATTAGTATTACCAAACAAATGAATTAATGGCTATTTTATGCTGATGAGCAACTCTGTATAACCTTGTCACTTGTGGCATACTTTAAAGGGTTAGTTCACTCAAAACTGTAAATTATGCTATTAATTACTCCCCCTTATGTCATTCCAAACCCCTGAAACCTTTGTCCATTTTCAGAACACAATTTAAGGTATTTTTGATGGAATCCAAGAGCTCCCTCATCCCTCATAGACAGAAACAGTCCCAATGAATTAATGCCCTTTTTTTACTGAGCATTTAATTGTTCCTAACATCTGGCTCATTTTTGCTCACATTTATTTCTCATAACAGACAGTTTTGTTTTTTGTTTTGTTTTTTGCACTTTGCGTTAATATTTTTAGCATTATTTTTGAACTGATATTCACTTTTGCTTTCTTATAAAAGATTGTTTACACAGTAGTTTTTTATTAAATGGCATTTAGTACAACATTAAACTAATAAGTAAATATTATAAAAGTTAATGCAAAATAGTGCTAAAAATAAAACCTATTAAAACTATTATTGACTTAATAAATAATAGTCCTACAACAAATTTGCCAGTCTGATCAAATAATATAAATTGACACATTTTACAATTATATTGTCTAATATTATGCACAAAGATTTAGTGCATGTTTGACTAATTTTGAAAATCAAAAATAAAATGTGAATCCTTACTCTTACTCCTGCACAAATGTTAAGTGTGGTGTTTTATTTTAGCGTAGTACTCTCTTAATTCAGCCAAACTGACTTAGTATATCTCATTGTAATACTTAATTTTGTCCTCAAGGTGGCACAATACATCAAGTTTGAGCTTCCTGTTTTACAAAGCTTCATCGCTAAGCTTCAAGAGGAAGAGGAAAGAGAGATGCAGAAACTGAAGACGAGGTACAGGAGTGAACCTTACTAAAAACACATATGCGAGTGTTTTGAAGCCATTGCGTGTGCTCATTTCCTTTCTGTGGCTTTTATTTCCTGTCAATCTAGGTATGCTGAAATGCAGCGCATCATCAAGAGATACATGCAGACTTCAAAGTCTAAAAACACCTGATGAAGTTGCTTGTATCCTTCAACACCATCTTTAAAATATTAGTAAATGAAGAACAGTGCTTTCTCAGGAACATGAACGTATTTAACCTATTACATTTTATTTATATAATAATTATTGCCTTCTAAAGCTATGATGGCTTCTATAAGTTTGTCTTGATATGGAATGTAAAATGTGTCATGCAAACTTTCACTCATGCACAATTGAATGATTATTTTTCCAGTTATTAAATATTGATTTAACGTTAAATTCAAATTGTGAATAAATATACAATGTGAAATTAAGAATTAATAATTTATAAGTCAAATGTATTTTATTGCTGATCATTTGTATTAATGTTTATAGGTATCATAAATATTTAATATACTTGTTTTCTTGAATATTTTCTAATGTATATGCACAGATCTTTGCTCTTGATAATAAAAACATTGTAAACTACAGTAATTTGTTTATTGAAAACTTGATTCTGATTGCTAAAATGGACGCACAGACCCAGGTTTAAACCGAATTACAGTTCTCATTCAACTAAATGATCTTACAGCAAAAGAACCAAAACTAGAGTGCCTGAATTAATAAAAATAACCAACAATAGAATTGTTTTCCCATAAAATTATTTTTAGACTTAATATAAAACCACTGGCCACTTTATTAGGTACATCTTACTAGAACTGTGTTGGACTCTCTTTTGCCATCAGAACTGCCTTAATCCTTCGTAGCATAGATTCAACATGATACTGGAAATATTCCTCACAGACTTTGGTCCAAATTGACATGATAGCGTCACACAGTTACTGCAGATTTGTCGGCTGCACATCCATTATGTAAATATCCCTTTCCACCACATCCCAAAGGTGCTCTATTGGATTGAGGTCAGGTGACTGTGGAGGCCATTCAAGTACAGTGAACTCATTGTCATGTTCAAGAAACCAGTCTGAGATGATTTCTGCTTTATGACATGGTGCGTTATCCTGCTGGAAGTAGCATCAGAATATGGGTACACTGTGGTCATAAATGGATGAACACGGTTAGCAATAATACTCAGGTAGGCTGGGGCATTGACACAATGCTCAATTGGTACTAATTGGCCCAAAGTATGCCAAGAAAAAATCCCACACACCATTACAGCAGGATAGATCCAGGTTTTCATGTGGTTGATGCCCAATTCTGACCCTACCATCTGAATGTCATAGCAAAAATTGAGACTCATCAGACCAAGCAATGTTTTTACAATCTTCTATTGTCCAATTTTGGTGAGCCTGTGCGAAATGTAGCCTCAGTTTTCTGATCTTAGCTGACCGGAGTGGCACATGGTGTGGTCTTCTGCTGCTGTAGCCCGTCCGCTTCAAGGTTTGATGTGTTGTGCATTCAGAGATGCTCTTCTGCATACCTCAGTTGTAATGATGGTTATTTGAGTTACTCTTGCCTTTCTATCAGCTTGAACCAGTCTGGCCATTCTCCTCTGACTTCTGGCATCAACAAGGCATTTGTGTCCACAGAACTGCCACTCACAGGATATTTTGAGATGGTTCTACATAAAAATCCCAGCAGATCAGCAGTTTCTGAAATACTCAGACCAGCCCGTCTGGCACCAACAACCATACCACATTCAAAGTCTCTTTCATCACCTTTCTTTCCTGTTCTGATGCTCGGTTTGAACTGCAGCAGATTGTCTTGACCATGCCTAAATGCAATGAGTTGAAAATTTGCATTAACGAGCAGTTGGACAGGTGTACCTAATAAAGTGGACGGTGAGTGTAACATATCTGTCTTTCTCTAGCTATTTTACCCATACAAAAGAACATGCATAAGCTATGTTTCCCTCTTTGGGAAACCATTTTAACTATTAATGTATAAAATTTACTTGCATGCATATCGATTTTAATGCTGGAAGTACTTACACAGCTTAGCTTAACATAGTTCATTGAATCAAGCCAGACTGTTAGCATCTTGATCAAAAAAGACTTTAAAGGTTTAAACAGCAAATTATCTAAACTCTGGTTGTATTTGAACGAGATGCTAATGGTCTAATCTGACAACGATTTATTCTAAGCTAAGCTAAAAGTTCTGACGGAGATCTGCTGAATAGATTAAATAATAGTACAACACTACTCTTTATCTCTTGGGAAGTTGTAAATGAGCAAATAAATCCTATTTCTTTAACAGAAGTTGCTCTAAAATGAGAAAAAAACAGAGCAGTACCAGGCTGTAATTCACTCTCTGCTGTCTCTTTGTTATGAAGTGGGCGGGGCTCTTGAGCATCCCTGATTGCTAATTCGCTCCTGCTGAATGATTGACAGCTCCACAGGGGGCTTGTTTACCACAAAGAGCAGCTTCTCCCAGTGAGGCTGTACAGTTCAAGCAGTGAACACAAGCCGGAGATCAGCAGAATCAGCAGGTAAGATGCTTGTTCATAGCAACAGATGGGGCTTTGGTAAAATAGGAAAAATATTGAGATTGAACATTTAATTAACCAACTCAACAGCAAATGTAATAATATATGCTGTTTTTTTATTTTCAGTTGCAGCAAACAATATCCTTAAGCATTTCATTTCATTTATTGTGTGAGTTTGAAGTAAGCATGGCATCATTGGCACATTGACCGTGTTTAATGCATTATGCAACCCTTATATATTTATGGCACAACAGGTGGGTGATTTTGTGTGAGTAAAAGCAGATCACATCTTTCATTCAAGTTGAGCTTGACAATTGATGTAACAGTCAGGTTGTGTGCTTGTTGTCAGTAGTCAGCACTTGTCCTTTGATGTCCAGTGGTGCGGAAAATGAGACTCGTGCCGCTCACTGCTTTACAACTCTCTAATAATGACCACGAATTTATAAACATAATGTTGAACAAACTGATAATAGAAATAATGAAATGTATGTAATTGTAATATTAAACACAGATTTATAGTATAAAAATAAAAAAATTAAAATAATAAATTAATAATAAAGGACATTAAATTATAAATATTAAACTATTGTAGATCCAAAAAAAAGATAGTAAAGATGTATTTTAAATGTTTATTGTAACCTTATTTTATTACACAAAAAGTAAATAATGCACTTGAAATTCAATATTAAATCTAATAAATGATATATCATAAAATAGATTAAAAAAACTACATGTTTTGTTATTTTAACATTAAGAATAATTTTTAAGAAAATCTGCAATTATTAAAATGTATTATATATTAATGAAATATGTTAAAAAGAATATTCTTAAGTTTTTTAATACAAAATATCATTAATACTCTTATCTTATATCTTACTCTTATACTTACATCTCACTCTTATAGCATTTTCTCAGTTTAAAATATGATGTTTATATGGTGGTTGAACACAGTAAGCCACTTAACATGTAAATACATATTTTTATTTCTTATTTATACAGATACAGGGTGTCCGCCAGGTCTTAAAAAGTATTAAAAGTTGATAAATCCATTTAGGGAAATTTAAGGCCCTTAAAAAGTTTTAAAAGCTGTTACAAGCTATTAAATTTTGCATCATTTTTGAATATACAGTCTTATAAATATATTTGTATGCTAAAGTTTTACATTTTGGGATGCTGTGTAGCTTATGAAATCTATAAAATCCTGCTATATTTCATGTCACACTGCTTTGCTTACTGCAGTAACCAAGGCAGCACCATTATCTCTGCTGTTTTAGGTGAAACCTTCTGCATTAACATTTTTATAAAGTATAAGAATAATGTTTAGTTTAGGATTAGTTTCTTACAATCAGTATTAAACAGTCAACAATGTGCATGTCAAAATCCTCTTTAAATATTATGTATATAATTTAATTGCTTACTTTATTTCTTACTTATTTAAATATCCTTTCTGTTCTCTTGTCTGCATGTATTGTAACCTGAGCTCCTTGCAACCCCAACATCATTCCTTGTTTATTTAGTCCACACATGGCGAATGAAGCTCTGATTCTGAATTTAAATTAGCCCATAGGCCTATGTTAATAAATAAACATTCTTTTGTAGGTCAGGGTGTTTATTAATAGTAAAACTTATGTAAAATATAAACAATATTTCAGCTTGATAATAAAAATATGGAATTATTCAAATGAATTATTAATCGTTTAAACCACAGCTAAATTGCCTGCATCATCTGAAATGACCTCTAAAGAGACTATAGGGCTTTTGAAGAGCTAGTATAAATTCTCTTTTAATTATTTTGTATAACTGTGTTGTTGATATTGTATTTATTTATTTGTTTGATTTGTATAGGCCTATATATTGTCTTTTAATGTGACATGTTATTATCTTTTATGGCTGATGACAAAAATGTATTCATTTCTTATAGTAGCCTATTCTCCTATGGCATATTTTGAGTATAAATGATTTTCACTTTTTCTGAAGGAGTCTTCAGTCATGCTGGGCAATCAGAAGCTGCTGATCATATGGGTGTGGATGTTGCTGTTGGCGTCGCTGTGCCCTTGTTTCCACTGTAAGCGGGGTTTTGGTGGCAGGGGCATGAGCAAAGGAGCGGCACCGGCCAAAGCGCCTCCGTCCCAGAGCAAAGGCTCATCATCCAGGCAGGGGCTGAAGCTGGCAGGCGCGGCGGCTGCGGGAGCTATTGGAGGAGCGGCCATCGGCTACGGACTGGGCTCTCTGGGGAGACCGAGGTACGGCCACAACGGCTACTCTGACGGCTATCACCAGCCCGTATACAACCAGTCACACCGTGGGTATTACGGGAGCACGGGCAGCTCAGAGCACATGGGCAGCCTTCTCATCACACTGGGCACGGTCGCTCACGTTGTTATTATGTGGGCTTGATTTAGGCTTGAGGCATTTCTTCTGAATGAAAGACAATTTATTATTTGAAACAATAATAAGAAAGGTTTTAAAAAGGAAGATGCAATCATTTATCGAGTATAATGCTGTTCGATGAAATGTAGGCTAAAGAAGACCTTTTTTGTTGTGTTTTTGAGTTGTTGCTATAAACCAAACTTGTTCCTGGAGGGCCGGTGTCCTGCAGATTTTAGCTCCAACCCTAATCAAACACACCTGGACAAGCTAATCAAGGTCTCACTAGGTATACTTGAAACATCCAGGCAGGTGTGTTGAGGCAAGTTGGAGCTAAACCCTGCAGGGACACCGGCCCTCCAGGACCCAGATTGGTGCCCCCTGCTATAAAGTAATACAGCTTTGGTCAGAAGTTAACGAGAATTGTTTATTATATAACTCATTACATTGTGTTTAATTACTACCCACCCCCACACTAGACCCCTTACAGCAACGTAAAAACATCAATTATTGTTGTACCGTTTTACTAAAATGATGGTAAATTGATGTGTTCATAGAATCTGCAGGTGTATTTCTTATAGAGTTCATCACTAGCTGATGAAAGCTATTTTCACTGATCAGGGCTTAATATGTTCTGTCAATTCAAAGAGGGTGGGAAAACGCAGTATGCTGTGTGAAGAAAATGTTTTATGTGGAGTTTTCTTTCAAAAAAAAAAAGAAAAGTTGTAGCTATTTTAACCACAAATTAACCTTGTTTGTAGGCAAAATGTGTTACAGATGTCTGTTAATCCAGTGGTTCTCAAACATTTTCCATCAAGTACCACCTCAGAAAAAAATTTGTCTCTCTAAGTACCACCAAAATGAGTAGTATTGAAATACAGTAGTGTAGTAGGCCCAGTAAAGCAGCTACAACTCTGCACAGTTAAAAAATCATGGCAGATTACCTTAGAAATATAGGCTATATGTCATATATGGCATATTATATACATCATTTTTGGTAAACTTTGAAATGTGTGTAGCATGTGACATTTCATTCCTCCACTAGAAGGAAGCATTCGTACCACTAGTGGTACACGTACCACAGTTTGAGAACCACTGTGTTAATCAATACACCAAACGGCCATACACATTTAGGCTTAATAACAATAAAAGCATGGTTAATCTGATGGGGAGGGGGTGGAAACTTTTACTGCCAAATATTCCACAAGTACCTTCCCAGCTAACAGTTTTTGGTTCTGTTGGACAGTTAGAGCTGGGCGATATGGCAAAAATGCAATCTCGATAATTATTTTCCATATTGAACGATAGCGATGTATATATTTTGGTATCAGGTGTTAAGATTTAAATCTGAGTAAAATTTAAAAGAGTAACTTAAGCCACTAAAATTAGAGGGTCCATTAAATGACATAACTTCTATTCAGCACAAAATTTGATGCATCTCTAATATCAACACACTTTTAGATTCCCATTGTTGCATATTTCTGCTGTGAGATTGGGTCACTGTAGAATAAAACAGCCCAGAGCTTATCATTGTTATTGACATACATTTTATTGCAAATTGTTATAGTATCATTTATTGGCCCAGCTCTATGGTCAGTCATCTAATAGCAAATAAAATATTAGCAAATATAGTCAGCAGAACATTTATGTAGGCCTATTGTTGTCTTTTAGGATCTCTATGAGTTGTTCAAACAAACAAAAAACAACAACAACATAGAGTGAATGATCCTAGAACCTTTTTATCTGGTTCACAAAATAATACCTAATCTGGAACAATGCAGGAATGTTAGGGGAGCAAAAAATATAATTGTTTATCTGATTAAGCCCCTTAAATGCAGATATTCTTATTATAAACAGTTCATCAAAGGTAAAGTTTAGTCAATGGCATGACTAATGGATTAGTGTCTGTGCTGTATCTGTAGTAGGGCTGCACAATATATTGTTACAGCATCAGTATCACAATAGTCACATCGCAAAGATATGCAATGTCCAGTCTGAATTATAGTTGACCAGGAGCTTTGTATTTTTATTTAATTACTGTATATGGAATTTATATGATTTATGCAAAAAATTATAATTTTCAAATATCTACATTTTTAGGCGAAAAAAAGATTATTTTACTTACCCCACTGGCAGATAATTTCCTTAAAACAAGCAAAAAAAAAAAAACTCTTAATTTTCAATTATTATAATTTTTTTTTTTTGACGGTGAAAACTAAACAAAATTTTTACTTGGTCTAAGATTTTTTTTTTATATTCGGACTAGAAATAAGACAAAACAAAGTAATAAAAGTATATATATATCTTTTTTTGCATTGTGATTATTTAATTTCTGCACCAAAATACTGTTAGACTCCCCTAAAAACCGACAAATAGAGCTATTCAAAACCATATTCTAAAACTGTATTCATTTCACAATATTTATCGTAATATCAGATTTTTCCAATATTGTGCAGCCCTAATCTGTAGGATTTTTATCTTTTTAATAATAATAATAATTATTATAATTACTATTATTTGTCAATTTTTATTTTAGTGTTCATTTTAGGACAAAAGGACAAATTCATTTGTAAAATGTTTAGGGTACAGACATTTTTTTTTTAAATGATCCCCATTTCACAAAAAAACAATTAAAAAACACTGCCAGGCCTTCAGTTGGCAATTCCACTTTGTGAAGAAACACTACATATCTGCGCACATGCACAGACTTTTATTATAAAACTAGTTTTTAAAAGTTGTGGCCCTTAAAATGCTTTTTAATTATTAGGTTTTTAGTTGAGTTTAGTTAAAAACCTTAACTGTAGGATTTTAACTAAAAATGTAAAAGCTTTGAATGTGTGTTGACTGTTCATTTACATGACACAAATTAGGGTTTTACAATATTTAATGCATTGGTTTAATGTACTCATTTTTTAGGTAAGTTTTTGACATCCAAATCAACAATTGTTTCTTTACAAAATAACATTTTTTTTACACAACAGCATTTTTTTCTATGGAAACAACACAATTGTATGTTGTTCACAGTTCCAAAGTAAGAAAAAGCATTTAGGTTGTGTGTTGATTTGAATATGAAATGTATATCCAAATGTTTTTGGTTTTTTCACTTGTGATGAATGTTAAACATTTAAGCATGATGTGTTGCTAAAGACCGATAATTCAGCAATCATATAACCTCAGTTTTGGTTGTTGTGTATATTAACAAAGAACCAGCTTTAGTTTAAGGGCTAATATTTAACTGAGTCATTTTTTTTTTTGCAAGTCATGTGAGCCGATGTACTCTGATGGGCAAAATTAATAAAAGAGAAAACAGATTTAGCTTTTGCCATTTCTTTAGCACATTGGCATCAGTTAATACTCTTATTTTAGGGCTTGATGTGTGTTTTGGCTTGTGTTTATAACCATGTCACTATTTGCTTCTTGTACTGTTTAAATGAATAAATAATTGACTCTGCTTATTGCCGTCCATGTTGTTTGCTGAACTGACAGATTGCTTTCTCCTCATTGTGACGTTGGTTTGCTGAATGCCCTGGTCTCCTAGCAACGTGTATCATGTGAAGGCCTGGGTATGTGGCTCTGTGATCTTACAATGGCAGTGAGCTTCATTTTGTTTTACAGACCAGCCACTGTCTATAAAATATTGAAAACGTGGGCTTCACGGTGGCGCAGTGGGTAGCATGATCTCCTCACAGCAAGAAGGTCGCTGGTTCAAGCCCCAGCTGTGACAGTAGGTATTTCTGTGTGAAGTCTGCATGTTCTCCCCATGTTGGCGTGGGTTTCGTCCGGGTGCTCCGGTTTCCCCCACAGTCCAAAGACGTGTGGTACAGGTGAAATTAATAAGCTAAATTGGGCTTAGTGTATGAGTGTGAAAGCAAGAGTATAAGGGTGTTTCCCAGTTTGAGGTTGTGGCTGAAAGGGCATCTGTTGTGTAAAACATATGCTGGATAAGTTGGAGGTTCATTCCACTGTGGCGACAAGAGAAGAAAAGAAAATGAATAAACATTGAAAACATATTTGTTCTCTTGTTTATATGTACTGTACCTGTGCAAACGAACTGCAGAGATTTTGCCGAAAGGTATGAATGAAAGTAACTGATAAGTAATCAAAATAAACGAATCTTTTAGTATTTTATTTATTCATGTATAAGGCAAAAATGTGATTAAATATTATCCTTGAAAATATAAATGCATAAACGAAGTGAACACATAAAAATTGTATTAAGGTATTTACATTTTTATTATACAGTTGTAGAAGTAACAATATTATTGTAAGATGATGATTTATCATAACAAAATTCATTCATAAAAATGCAAATGGCAATATAAGTGCTGTTATTTGGATTCCTATAGAGTGGAAAGGAAATGCAATTCCATTACTTAATACATTATATGTTTATTATTATAGTTCCATTAAGTGGTACTAAAAAGCATAGTGGAAGCAGTGAGCAACAGAAGCACTTCGGAGATGCTGTGTCCATTATGGTTATTGGAACTTCTGGGAATTTTCCCTTCTCTTTTTTCCATTCTATCATCTCTCTGACTCTCTGAGTAAACAATGTACAGCTCAACACACTTTCGAGATTTCATCTGCTCAATAAGCGCCGGATAGCCGATCTGCATGATGCTCACTGTTTCCTCATCCTCATTCTTATGAATCTCAGCAGCCTTTGGATAATCACGGGTTGTTGTATTAGATGTGGTGTCATTCTTCTCTGGCCCACCTTTCTGTGAGGATTCTTCATTCAAACCTGGAAAATCACTCATTGGTTCCTCTCTTTGAATATTGCTGTTACCTGCAGATTCTTTTGAGTCTTGGTCTCTTAAAAGATTATTTCGCTTCATGCATGTCTTCATGAAATTGTCGTATGACTGAGCTTGAGCTGGTAGCTTTGATGTGTTGTCGGTTCCTGCGGTGTGACTGGGTTTTTTCTTGTTACCTCCATCTTTAAAACGTGTGTCCTGACGTTGGTACATATGGTTGTTGTAGTAGCGTTCCTCCTGTGGGCTTCTGAACTGGAAGTTGGGGCGTTGAAAGTTTCCTATTCCATAGCCTATAGCCATTCCTGCCATTGCACCAACTCCTGCAGCCACCACTGCCTTTTTCCCGAAGCCTTTGGATTTTGCAGAAGGGTTGTAGCCCATGTTTTTCACTGATTGTGAGAAAGGGGAGCCACCCGTCCCAAACCCACCACCTCCAAATGGGCCTCCATATCGTGGACTGAGAATCTGATTGTTGGGGTTCCAGTTGGGATATCCTCCTCCAGCAGAAGGGTGTGCTCCTGGGTAAACTCCAGGCTGCCCTGCATTTCTCACTGGGTAAGATCCAGCTCCTGGATACCCACCAGGGCTGTATCCACTTCTACCAGGGTTCTGGTTAGAGTAACCCCCTCCCCCAGGATACTGATTGGGGTAGCCACCACCTGCATAGGTACCTGCTCCAGGATTCTGGTTGGGATTCCCTGCGGGGCTGGAGCCGCCTCTTCCAGGATACTGATTGGGATTTCCACCAGCTGAAGGATAGCTGCCTCCTGCTGGATAAGAACCTGCTCCAGGATTCTGGTTGGGATACCCTCCAGGGTTGGAGCCACCTCTCCCAGGATACTGATTGGGATTTTCACCAGCAGAAGGATAGCTGCCTCCTGCTGGATAAGAACCTGCTCCAGGATTTTGGTTGGGATACCCTGCGGGGCGGGTGCCACCTCTTCCAGGATACTGATTGGGATTTCCACCAGCAGAAGGATAGCTGCCTCCTGCTGGATAAGAACCTGCTCCAGGATTCTGGTTGGGATACCCTCCAGGGTTGTAGCCACCTCTCCCAGGATACTGATTGGGATTTCCACCAGCTGAGGGATAGCTGCCTCCAGATGGATAAGAACCTGCTCCAGGATTTTGGTTGGGATACCCTCCAGGGCTGGAGCCACCTCTTCCAGGATACGGATAGCTGCCTCCAGCTGGATAGCTGCCTGCCCCAGGATTCTGGTTGGGATACCCTGATGGACTAGATCCACCTCTCCCAGGATACTGCTGGTTAGGGTAGCCTGGGTTACTTCCTGCACCAGGATTGGAGGGTTGTCTGGGATAGTTAGGTTGGGTCTTGGTCCCTTGTGATGTTTTTTCGGGTGGCTTCTTGGGAACAGTCTTGCTTACAGTGCCTTTCTTTCCTCCTGATGTATAATGTAACACTGCCATCAAAACCAAAACGATGGCTAGAAGTTTGCATAACTCCCCCATTTTGGTCCTAACAAAAAACACAGTGAATTAGTGCAGACCTGACAATGATCAAGGAGGTAAAGACACAGAAAGTAAGCTTAATGAAATTCACTGATTTTACTTCATACAAAACAAGAGTCAAACTGATACTTAATACAGGAGAGAACACAGTAAAAACATTCCTAAACAAGGCTTTAGTAAACAGCATTTTGTTTGGAAAGGCCAGCAGAGTTAGTGTTTATCACAGGTCTAATGGAGAATGCTTTTAGTATTCAGAAACGGCACAGAGAGGAGACAAGACAGTAATGGACATGAAAGCATTTCTATAGAGTAATATGGCTCTACAGCACTTTCAGCTTATCAATTTGGTGTCCATTATAGTGTATGAGATTAATACCCATAAAATCATCTTCACATTAAAAGCCTAAAGCATGATCCTTAAGATATTATCAATGCATTTTCACTATCCTTCAATAAAACATTCCAAGAAAAACAAAATCAACAATAATTGCATTAACACTTAATCAAGATGTTTTGTTTGCCACAAAATGAAATTTGTGTTATTAATGCCTCAGTCTTGTCTTAGTCATGTCATTTTGATCCCCCAAGACTTTTGTTCATCTTGGGAACGCAAATTAAGTTATTTTAGATTAAATCTGCACATCGTTATTCTTTAGGTGAACAATTAATCTATATAAGTTAGTCCAGTGAAAAAAAAAAGTTTTAGAAATCTTCAAAGTTTGGCCATTTGCTTATGTGTTTGCAGTAGCAGTCCTTCTTTGTTGACATCAGTTTGACAGCTTCAGCCACAATATACTTAACCAAGCCAACCTTACTGTTCAATTGCTTCCAGGGAATAATGTGCAAAGATAAACAGCGCCCCCACGCAATATTTTAAGGGAGAGAAGTAAGCATATTGAGTCATATTTACTGTTTTTTTTTGTTTTTTTTTTGCACAAACAAAAGTGTTTTTGTAGCTTCGTATGATTATAGTTTGTCCACTGATGTCACATTAAATCTTTTGACATTTTGTTTTTGGTTTCTTTTCTGACTTTAAACATCTGAGGACTTTCTGTCTATGGAGTGTGAGGGAACTCTTGGATTTCATCTTAAATTGTGTTCTGAAGATGGACAAAGGTTTCATGGGTTTTTAATGACACTAGGGCAAGTTATTAATAACATAATTAAAATTTTGAGTGAACTAACCCTTTTATGTATGCCACGAAGGATAAGGCTATATAGAGTTGCTCTTCAGCAAACCAAAATCCATACAGTCAGAGATTACAACTTGATAGAAAGTGTTTATCATGCAAAATTCAAGATTCCTCTTGGGGCGATTAAATTTAATATGCTTTAATTGGCAGCAATTGTGCTGAATAAATCGTTATTATGAGATATTTTCAGCAAATATAATTTAAATAATACAGCAGTGTGACTATTTTTGTTTATATTTTAGCCAAGTAGTTAAAGGTAGAATGTCTGCTAAGTAAACAAATTTAAATGTGGTAAATAAGTAATGGCTAGACAGACACATTCATAGATATGCATATAAATGACATTACAAAGCCAACAATCTCAAATCAAGGTCCTTCATACAAATAATAACATCGTAAAGAACCTTTTATAGTATGTTTGTTTAATTTAAATGTCACATTTAAGATGTTATATATGTCTCTACGGTGAGCAATATGATAGTTTGGTAATGTCTTACCATAAAAAGGTTGAAGAAGCGTCTCTCCCGCAGCACTCTCTGCTCAACAGAGATCACGCTGACTGTAGTCGGGACAGATAGTGGTCTGGGTGTGGCTTCATGAAATAATGTTCTTACAGAAAGCTAATAAGGCTGGGGTACTGTTTCTGTGTGCGTGACTATTAAAAGCTTCAAACACATCTAGCAGAAGGAATAAACAACCACTGAATAGACTCTTTGTCCGAAATGGTTAGAAAATTTATTCGCACATGAATTATTTTCTTTCTTACAAAGGAATCTAAGCAGATATTTTAAACATATTTACAAAAAATAAAATAAAATACATAAACTCCAGGCAAAATATTTTCAACACTCAATCCCAAATGTCAACATATAGAGTATATGTATGTGTTGTTTTAATTTTTCTTAGGGTAAGCTTTTTTATTATGCATATATACATCTATTTCTATAAAAACTACTTTACATTTTATAATCACTATACAGTTTGCTAAGGGGGAAAAAGATGAGTTGTCATAAGCTGTCTTTTACTTATATCTATTTGGAAATTAAAATAAGTAATAAAACAGCTGTGAATTATTATTAAATTAATTATTAAAATTTAATATTGTAAGTTATAATACTATTAATCAAATTCTGACAAAAGTCTTGTAGTCTATCCAAGTTTTAAGATATACAAATAAAAACTTGACTTCTAGTTGATCATTTGGTATCAGAAGTGCTTGAAAGGCAAAGGCCTCTAGATGTTGCTTGTTTTACCAAAATAATATATGGTCATGCAAGGATTTTTAATTATTTAATTACGACAGCTTTGCTTTATCGATAAAAGTCTTGTCATTTAACAGAAATAATGTAGAGTATAGAATATAAAGTCATGGTGCAGTGGAAAAGAACGAATATTGAGTATGACCCCCATGACCTTGGAGGACTGCATCCATACATCTCTGCAACGACTCAAATAACTCATTAATAAAGTCTACTGGAATTGCAAGGAAAGCTTTCTTGCAGGACTCACAGACTTCATCAAGATTCTTTGGATTTATCTTCAATGCCTCCTCCATCTTACCCCAGACATGCTCAATAATGTTCATGTTTGGTGACTGGGCTGGCCAATCCTGGAGCACCATGACCTTCTTTGCTTTCAGGAACTTTGATGTGGAGGCTGAAGTGTGAGAAGGAGCGCTATCCTGCTAAAGAATTTGCCCTCTCTTGTGGTTTGTAATGCAAAGGGCAGCACAAATATTTTGATACCGCAGGCTGTGGATGTTGCCATCAACTCTGCAGATCTCTCGCACATCCCCAAACTGAATGTAACTGAACCCCTAACCATGATTTTTCCTCCACCCAACATGACTGATGTTACTACCTTTAACCACTTTTCCAAATGATTAACAGGAAGTCAAGTTATTATTTGTTGCTTATACAATGTATCTATATGTACAGCTATGCAAAAACTAATTATAAGACAACATGAGAATGATCTCACTGATTTATTAGGTGTGAGTTTGAGCAAAATTGTAATATTTGTTTTATTCTATAAAAATCTGCTAACATTTCATCCAAATCTCAAATCAAAATATTGTCATTTAAATAATTTGAATAATAAATTTCATTGTAGAATAAATACAAAGTTTTATATTTTAATATAATTCATTATAATATTTCTGAAAATTATTTCCTTTATTTAACTTTTCTTACCCCAAAACGTTGAAAGACAGCATCATATACTGTATATAATTGACATTGGAGTTGAAAGTATTTCTTAACTTTGTCAGGAGAAGCTTAGATTATGGAAGAACTTTGGGCGTCGAGCTGCAAATCTGTTTTCCGGCTCACTCCCTCGTCTCCTGGTCCCTTCTTTTTCTCTTCGTCTGCGAGCCAGGTCTTCCTCTAACACCTGAAGACACACATACAACATCCGTGACATATTTTCCCAAACAAGAGGCTTTACAAATCCATTTTACCCTTCTTTCCAATACCTCTTTCCTGCACGCAAGCTTATCTCTCCATTCATTGAGCTCAAGTGTGTGTTCGTCCTCCAGGGCTTTGATCTTTTTCTTCTCCATGTCCACAAGAACTTGAAGCTTCTCATTCTGAAGTACAAAAACACAAACATTTAACACCTTGTGTTATAAATGCAAGTTCTTTCTTTTTATCTTTTACCTTTTTGTTCTAACCATTCATGAGAGCGATGTGCAAAATGTCTATTGTGGAAACTGTTATTATTTCGGACTAAACAACAGCATAAACTTCTATGACAATGATCACCTCAGGATCTGATTATGTGCTTTATCAAAGACTATAGAATACACAAGACATGTCAATTGTTTAGTTTTGAATGGGGAAAAGTGTAACGGTTAAAATGGCGAATGAAGCCCAGCCTTCTAGTACAGGAACCAATCAGTGATCGCTATAGACCAGTGAGAACCAGACGTAAATTTCTGTTGATTTTGTGTGACTCTCAACCGTTTAAAAATAATACTAGAGACCATTGTTTATTTTTATTGTTGTTTCCTAATATGAAATTGAATTGTGTTTTCCAATTCAAACAGAATGCCCAAGCATACTGCCCAAGAGACCTTTCAAAGATAGCCGTCGAGTGAAATGAATTGCTTTAAAGAGACTTTGGCTTTATTCAGTGTTAAATGCTTCTACCATGAGTTTCTATCAGCGACCAGTATCCAATTCCATTAAAACAAAACTCTTCCACCAGTCCTTACTTCATATTCTCATCCAATATCTCAGTTTGTCATTAAGCATGTTGCTGAATGGAAGTAAAACTGCAGTTAAAGTTGAAAAACTAAAAAGGATACACCCGAAATGACATGAATCTCCAGAAACGTGAAAATAAAAATAAAAAAATTCTTGAGTCATCCACTATAATTATGAGGCTCAAAAGTTTAGGTTCAGGCACTGTTTTGGCACTCGTACCGTTTTAAAAGTATCACTTTAGCACCGGTATCGAAATAACCCTAAAGATACCCAACCCTACTCGTTATTGAAAAAAAAGTACTACCATTAGTAATACCGTTTATTTATAGCGCCATTATTCCCATCACTTTTCAAAATATATTGAACTATTATACATATACTTTTTAAAACCTTATTCAGTCTGATTTTTTCTTTAGGCTCTAAACAAGCTGTTGCTGACGTACCTGAAGCTGCTGTAGTTCAGCTGTACTGGCATCACATTGTTCCTGCACTGCTTTCAATTGGCTCTCGTGACTTTCTTGAAGACTCTGTTTCTCTTGCTTCTGTCTGGCCTCTTCTTCAGACAAAAGCTAAATATAAACCCAGAGAGGAACAGTTCCATTTTAATCAAAGTGTTATTAATTAACCACACATTATTCTGACACTGAGGTTTCTGCATCCAAACCTGTGTGAGATGTTGTCTCTGCTCAGGGCCGCTCAGACCTTGCTTTCTCAGCTCCATTTTCAACTGATTCAGACGGGATTTTGCTTCAGCTTTTTGGGTCTTCAGGAACGACGCTCTCTCCTGGGCCTGCAGTGACTTCTGCTCCTCCAGGAGAGACTGCTGGAAGCGGGACGCTCTCTCTTTATCCTGCCAGAAGAGAAACAAAGGTGTCACTAAGATACAAATAAACATAGAGGATAAAAAACAAACAGATTGTTTTGGATGTTACCTTGTTATGTCTCTTGGTCAGCTGCTGTCTTTGTAGGGAATATTGCTCTTTCACCTGCTGTTTAAATAGATGATACTTTTCCTGTAGATGGCGCTGTTCTAACTCCCAGATCACAGCTTCTCGAGCTTAAGGAAGAGGAAAATGCATGTTTGGAATCATTTACCACCTGTAAGTATGTTTTAAAGCCACTGTTTATTTAGTTTTACTGTTCATAATGCATGAAAGTATAGTGTACACTTGGGTCAGGCAATACTGACCTAAATGTATCTTAATAGAAATTTAACAATATCTTGGGAGGTGTGAATTAATTTTGGTATCTTGACTGGATTAGGATGGTCACAGATAAAAAACTATAGCGGTAAAACCAACACTATGTGCTATCGAGTTCTTGTCTTAATGAGTGAATCATTCATTCATTTTCTTTTCAGCTTAGTCCCTTTAATAATCATGGGTTGCCACAGTGAAATGAACCGCCAACTTATCCAGCATATATTTCACACAGCGGATGCCCTTCCAGCTGCAATCCATCACAGGGAAACATCCACACACACTCATTCACACACAGACACTACGGACAATTTAGCCTACCCAATTCACCTAAAGCGCATGTCTTTGGACTGTGGGGGAAACCGGAGCACCTGGAGGAATTCAACGTCAACACGGGGAGAACATGCAAACTCCACAAAAAAACACCAAATGACTCAGCTGAGGCTCGAATCAGCGACCTTCTTGCTGTGAGGCGAATATACCCCTCACTGAGTCTCTGCATGGCCATAATATTATCTCATACGATAATATAACTTAATAACAATAAATAAAACAATAATAAACAATAAAACTTGTGTGTGAGACTAGACAGTAGTCTAAAATTTGATCAGCAGATTGACTCTGTGATTATGGCAAGCTTTCTTCAGCTTCGCCTTCGCTCTAATGTCAAGCTCTTCCTGAGCAAGGCTGATCTTGAGAAAGCCATCCATGTTTTTGTTAGTTTGCGATTAGACTTCTGGAATGCACTTTATGTTGGAGGTAACAAGCATGTCTTCATCATTTGCAACTTATGCAAAATGCTGCAGCTCACATGTTAACTAACAGTCGGAAAAATGAACACATTACACCTATTCTCTACACTCTCCACAGTCTCTCTGTTAAGTTTAGAATTGACTATAAACTTGTGATGTTTGTTTTTAATGCCTTGCTCTTTATTTTTGCGATATTGCTTTGCGATCTGCTGGCCAACTTCTGCTTGAAGTCCTACGGTCAAGATATAAGCAGTGGGGTGATCGCTCTATTGCAGTGGCAGGACCTAAACTTTGGAATTCTCTTCCTACTGAGCTTCGTACAGTCACTGACCTGCCACTTATAAAAGCCAAGCATAAGACCCACTTGTTTAAATTGGCTTTTGATGTATAGCAGTGACACTTTATGTTTTAACGTTTGCTGTATTTTATTGATATTTTTTGTATTGTTCTTGAATTTAGCTGTGCTGTTTGCTTGTACTTGTGTGAAGCACTTTGATCAACCTTGGTTGTAGTAATGTGCTATATAAATGAAGGTTGACTGATTGGTAATATTACAATAAACATGACAAACTACTGTGCACATTAAATATCGAAATAATGTTTAAGATGTTACAAATGTGGCCCATCAGAGACATCATTATTTTTGCTTTATTAAACAAATAATACACCATCAACCTCTCCTATGCAGATAAAGACTGGATGGTCAGTGTGTAATACAATTCCAATATTTATTTCACGAAGGAATGCTTAGAAGTGTTACAAGACCACCCTTACAAAAACCAGTAACTGCCCAGACCAGAACAGGAAGAGAACCTACACAGACCCCAGAAGAGAGAGTTGTTCTGTACCAGCTCAGGACAGCTTCTCCTCTGGAACAGTGAAGAGACGTGGACCTGCACAGCTCAATCATTCCCATCTTTGATACCATTCTTTCTTTTCCATCGAAGTCTAGTTAAGTTTAGTACACCGCAAAACCAGAAGTCAACACAACTAGTCCTTTTGCCACCTCAAAAACTTGAAACAACAGACTCCACCCCACTCCAAGCCTCAAAGGACAAAAAGCTGAACCACCAGCTAACCACGTAGGAACCCCCACTCAACAGAAGGAGCTCTTCACATCACATAAGAATGTAAGTAACACCTCCAGATTGCCACTGAACTGGTAAACTAAATGTAACCCTAACCAAACCATGGAAGGGTTAAATTGATTATTTTTGGCTCGCTTGGTTTGGTCCTACAAAATCTGAGGTTTTTACATCATTACACTTCCTCAGATTCTTGTTTTTTTCCTTTACTCTTTCTACAACCTGTATGAATGTGTGTTTAGTTCTGATTTAAATTTCTGTTAGATTAGCCAAAAAGTTTCACTTTGTATAATAAAGGTGCCTGCATATTTATGAAAGTATTGTCTATACTTTAATCTTGCTACCCTGCTTAAACATAAATGGTTTTTTATTTTTGATAGCAACCGCCTTCATTAAAGTCAACTACCCATTCAAACGATTGTTGGATGATTTGTTTGTTCGGATTTAAAGAGTCAATTCTTTTGGAGCCCTGTTCAAATTAATCTTCAATTCACTTTTTTAAAATAATTTTTTTGGGGGTTTTCACCTTTATTATGATAGGACAGTAGAGATTTTAGATAGGAGAGCATTGGGAGCAGAGAGAGGGCAAGTATCAGCAAAGTAACTCGAGCCAGGAATCGAACTCTGGTTGCTGTGAGCATGTCGGTGCTATATGTCGGTGCACAGTGCTACTAGGCTATTGGCGCCAACGATCTTCAGTTCACTTTGAGCTAATTCACTACAAGGGTTTCAAAATTTAACATGAAACTTATTTTAGAAAATTATAAATTAACAAACATACTGTTTCAAAATAAAAACTTGAGACATAATATCATACAAAAACTTTTTTATTTAATGTTTAAAAATGCAGACGAATGTCAAATATATGAAAAAATTTGGTAAATATGTGAAAAAAATTCTAATTGTTACATTTAACTACATTTTCAGATAAGCATAAATGTTTTAGAGAAATATAGTTGCTTTGATATAATTATTTATTTGATTATAAAGTCATTTATTTCATCTCCTGGAATTGAGTAAATGTATGCATCAAGTCATCTTGAACCCACAATTGGCGCATAACTTTATCAATTCATCAACTGAAAAGTGGAAGAAGTTAAAAAAGACCCTCAATAGATATGATAGGTATTTGGTCCATTAAGAGTGGCGTACATACCTCGCTTGAGCTGTTGCGATTTGACCGTAATCTCCCACTCCATCGACGCCACCTTCCTCTTATGCTCCTGAACACCCTTCTGCAGAGCTTCATTGAGCTCCTGCTGTTGCTTCTGCAGGAACCGCTGCTCCTACAGCACAAACACACACACACACACACATCAAACATCAGTGACTGTTTTCATGCATTTTAGCCTAATTGTGAGTGAGTCAGTACCTCTTTAGGGTCTGCTTTGAGTGCACTGCTTTTGCGGCTCAGCTCTTTCTCCTGCTGGGCCTTGATTCTCCGTGCGTCCTCTCTCAGTTTGGATGTGTGCTCAGCCTCCATTTGACCGCTTTGCTGCTGATATTGTTTCTCAAGTCTTTCCAGCTCGCTGTCATAATATTGCTTCTTGCTCTGCAACAGGATTAACACTTGGCTGAGGCTGATAAACACTTGAATATTTAGTGTAAAAGTTCAATTGTGACTGACTTCATAGGTATTGCATGTTCAGTCTGTAGACGGATACTTGACACATCAATCATTTATTTATTTATTCATGGACAATGTATGACACAACATGTTTTGCTAGAGTATGCTATAAAGCTTATTTACATATGTAGTCCCTAGGCTGGAAGTTGTAACAAGTTTAATATAATAAAAATAGTACAATATACACTTACAGTACAATACATCATAGTCAAAACAATTAAATCAAATCAGTGGTTGCATATTTGATTTTCTTTAAGACAAACTTTAAGGACAGTTTTATTAATATTAAAAGTGTTACTCTCTCTTTGATATGCACTGGTATTGTATTTCATCTCTCTGCTTCTCTGACTGAAAAAAACTGATTGTCCAAAAACAGCTCTCTTGAGTTTAACTGAACAATCACCTCTAATCGATGACCTAGTCTGTCTTATATTGTCCAATCACGCATTGTTTGAGAGGTGGTGGTGCATGAACATTAAATATTTTATACATTAAAACCCACATCAGCATAAAACAACAAATTGTCGATTGTTAGTAATTTATGTTCAATACAGTTAAAGCAATGATAGCTCCTGTGCTTTTAGCTATTTTTTTTACAGTTTGTTTATAGATATTACACAATTGTTTTAATGTTCGTGTGGGACCAGCTTGTACAATAAGATGAGGGAAAATCATTGTATTCATAGCGTTTAGAAGCAGCCATAGGTAACTCATGCCTGATGTTTCCCCTCAGGCTTGCTCTAGCTCTTTTGGAAACCTTCTTGTAGTGTTTTTATTTAAATTAGAGTCAATAATTATGCCTTAATATTTAAAATGATCAACAATATTGATTACTTATAAATTAACCAAAATATCTGAGCAATGCTCCTCATTTTTCTTAATGGTAATATTTTAACAATGGTAATAATGTTCAAATGTAGGATTGAATGTGCATAAAGTGCATAATGTTTCATTTCAAAGTAACATCACAACTACTGGCCTGGCATGCACAGTTAAATTCAGAATTATTATCCCTCCTGGGATTTTTTTTAAATATTTCCCAAAAGATGTTTAACAGAACAAGGAATTTTATCACAGTATTTCCTATATTATTTTTTCTTCTGGAGAAAGTTTTACAGTATTTGTTTTATTTTGGAGAGAATAAAGGCAGTTTTTAATGGTTTATTATTTTAATTAATCAGTTATTAGAAATGAGCTATTATTTTTAGAATTGTGTTGAACATATCTTCTTTCCGTTAAACAGAAATTGGGGGAAATAATATATAGGGGCTAATAATTCAGGAGGGCCAATAATTCTGACTTTTATATAGACAACTGTATTTAGCTTAAAGGAAAATATGAATAATTAATCAACTAGCTATATTTTTTACTTTCATTATTTATGAATATTTTATGAACATTTTATTTTATATTGGGTATTTCATCATGTTTAGTCTCATGCGATTACTGGCTGTCACAGGTGTCACTAAAAACAAGAAACTCTGAATTCAACAGATACTACCCTTTGTCCTAGATTCGCGAACAGGAAGACTAGGTCTTGTAAATTTAGGCCAAGTCAAATTTCTTTTAAGGGCATTTTTTTTTTATAAAATTGCCAAAGAAAACATTACTTTAATGAATCTCTAAACAAAACAATAGGGTTTCAAGTAATTTAAGAGAGCTCAAACTTGAAATTTAGTAAAGGATTCCCCTTAAGCCTTTTCTGTTACACTGAGGATTAATGTTGCACACTATGAGCTGTGGTGTGTTTAGCTTACAGTCATTTCTTGCTCTATATGGCGGAACATCTGCTCTCGCTGTTGCTGCAGTTTCAGCTCCAGCTGGGCATGTTCTCTCTGCTCTTCCCTCTGCAAGAGTTTCAGCGCATGCAGCTCCTGCCGTCTATAAACACCCAAACATATTTAGAATGTGACACTTTCCACGTACACCATAAAGTTACTTTAAAAAATAAATGTTCCAAGCTAAAAAAATTCACAATGATGGCAAAGAAACATTTTTGATTCTCTAAAGAACATTTCAGGGGTCAAGTTTTTCTTTTTGAAGAACATTCTGTTAATTTACAGAGCTTCTTTATTCTTGTGGAATGGAAAGTCTCCATGGGAGTTAAAACGTTCTTCATGCAACTATTGGTGTCAACCTTTATTTTAAATAGTGTAAAGCAGGGGTGTCCAAACTTGGTCCTGGAGAGTTTATATCGAACTTGCTTCAATAGGCCTGCCAGGAAGCTTTTAGTATCTCTAATAAGAGCTTGATTAGCTGGTTCAGGTGTGTTTGATTAGGGTTAGAGCTAAATTCTCCCAGACACAGGCCCTCCAGGACCGAGTTTGGACACCCCTGGTGTAAAGCATAAAGACTTGTTACCTGTTGTAGCGCATTAGTTTTTCTTTGCTGTCTCCCTCGCTAACCACTTTGGAAGTGGTGACACTGACTTCACGACCATCCACCATAAATTTGCGGGTCTTTTTAACGGTCATCCTGCTGGGATGCAATTCCTAAATACCCCAAAATTAATAAAAGTTAGAACAATGTTGAAATTGACTGTTTGCTAATGTCTTAAGCACATTGCTAGTTTCAGACTCACCCCTTCAAACCCAGGAGACATCGGAGGACTGGTGGGAGAAAGAGGTGGTATCATGTCCTCATTAGATTCTTTATGTGTGGATCCATTCGATTCATGTGGTAGAACTGAGTCTGAATCATTCAAGCCATTTGCAAGCTTCTCTTTGTTTTTGTCATCCTGAACTACAAACATTACCTGCTTTTTCAGCTTTGATTCAGAAACAACTGTTGTATCCTCAACAGCATCCTTTGAGTCCTCTTCTGTACTGTCAGGTGTTGTATTAGAGATTTCTGGAAACTCTTCTTCAGGTTCTTTTGAATCTGTCGCATCTTGAGCAACTCCTTCATTACTCGTTTCCTTTTCTAAATTATCCTCTTCCTTGTTTGACATCTCTGGAGTCTGTGAATCAGTAATATTTGTTGTCTCATTTTGGATTGGCGTTTCCATCTCTTCATCTGATTTTCTGGAGATCTCACTGTTTTCGTTTATTGAGTCTACATCTTCATGATCGTCCTTCATGGTGTCTTCTTCCTTGCTTGTCGAACATTCCTCCTCTGTTGTTTCCTTGTCTTTTTCACTGCTTTCTTCTTCCTCAGACTTTTCATTGTTTGAGTTGACATCTTCATGCCTCACTCCTTCACTGATGACTTCAGTAAAGTCCTCGCTCTCTACCTTCATGGCAATGTGATCTTCTTTGGTGATTGTTTGATCTTCTGTCTCTAGCAGTCTTGATTCTTCCTCTGTTCCTCCATCTGTCTCCAGTTCTTCAACTGTTTCTTCTGTTTCCAAAGGTTCAGTTGATGGTTGTTCATTCTTAAAGTCAGGAGCTCTTTCAGGAAAAATACTCGAAGGCACCTTAGGAGTTTTAGTATTATCTAATGTGAAAGTAGACGTTTTCAAAGGACAGGCCAGATTAAGGTAGTCATTGGGATTTTCCTCATTCCTGTTAGTTTTTAAAGCTAGTGTTGTTTCCAAACACAAAGCTACAACCTGTGTGCTATGTTGATGTGTTGCATCTTTGTCAAGAACAGCAGGTATTTGAAGGGATTTCCAAAATGTTTGGTCATTGTCAGAATTTGTCACAGTGCCATTTCTTTTCTCAGCAGCTTCCGTGTCCTCTTTGGTAAGACCTAATGTGTCACTTTCAGAAGAAACTGTTGTTTGTGCTGGTGCACTGGAGAGATTTAAGTTCTTGTCAGTTTCTTCTGTATCAACCTCATCTTTGATGTCAGCAACTTTGTTACTTGGAGCATCGACTACGTCAGGTGTTTCCTCTTTTGGTTTGGCAGTGTTTTCACTTTCAGTACCATCTGAAGGGCATGTTCCCACAGTTTCAGCTGCACTTGAATCTTCTGAGTTTTTAGTTACCTGAACTGGTGAATTGTCACCCCAGAATCCAGATTTGCAGCGACGGGAGCCGCCAGACAGAAACGAAAGGAGATTTCCTGGAACAGAGAGGCGTCTTGCCCTCTTTTGAGTTTTGACCTGATTAGTGGCCTGTGAAGCCCTGCGGGTCACTTTGACCTCAGGATTTAGCTCTGAGTTGATGGGGGATTGAGGAACAGTGTCCAGAACCGAGGTCTTCTTTGGGGTCTCAGGTTCTTGTGGTCCCTGTTCTTCTATTGCTTGTTCTGGTCGTGGCAGTGTTTTCTCGGATTCTGTGGTGATTGTGTCTTCCACGGAGGATTGGATATTGAACAAAGACTGTGAAAGTAAAGATGCAGAAAAAGATGCATTAATCTTATACTGCAGAGGTGTCAAAGTCAATTCCTGAAGGGCCGCAGCTCTGCACAGTTTTGCTCCAAAACTAATCAAACACGGCTAATACAACTAATCAAGGTGTTAGAGATTCTTTTGAACACCTCAATGATTTGGATCTGCTGTGTTTGATTAGGGTTGGAGCAAAATTGTGCAGAGCTGCGGCCCTTCAACAATTGACTTTGACATTTATGTTTTACTGCTAGACCTCACATAATGTTTAACATAACCAACAACATGTGAAGCATTCATATGCAAAAGTGCTTTCTAAAATGTTCTTCTAAAATTAGCATTTTTTTCTGGCTCTAAAGTTTATGTTCAGTTATTTCACTTTAAAGGGAATGGAAAGAACAAACCTAAGCATAGCCCTGAAAGTGAAATTACTGATCCTAAACACAGGAGCCTTTAAAAATGCTTACGAAAATTTCAGACAGCTTTTCACATTGAGAAACAAAAATAAAACAAATGAGTCCATAATTAAAAAAAGAAATGTTTCGAAAAAGGTAATAAGGTTGTAATTAAAATTCAGTTTCTTTAACAGACCCATTATTTCACTTTAGAAAACAATGGAAAAACTGCTAGTGTCAATTTTTTTGGACTCTCTAAGTGTCAGGTGACACTGACTTGCATCTTTTGAGTATTTTTTCTGAATTTGTCTTAAATTAAAAAAGAAAAAAGCTTAACAAAAATTGTGAAATAGTTAAATAATTTTAATTTTGGGGGAATTAGAAATTTAATTAATAACTGTGACCCTGAACCACAAAACCAGTGTAAAGTTGCATGAATTAGCAGAAGCAATAGCCAAAAATACATTGTATGAGCAAAAGTGATACATTATTTTTATTGTATGACAAAAAACATTGTTATTATAAGTAAAGATCATCGTTCATGAAGACATATTGTAAATTTATTACTGCTGTTTTATACAAACATAATTTCCATTGCTAAGAACTTAATTTGGACAACTTTCAAGTACATTTCCTCATTTTTTTTATTTTGAACCCTTGGATTACAGCTTTTCAAATGTATTCATTAGGGATGCACCGATATGGATTTTTAGGCCGATATCGATAACCAATGATTCTTTAGGTTTAGAGGCCGATAACCGATTTATTAGCTGAAAAATATAAATATCTCAAAATGTTATATTTTTATACAGTGAACAACTGGTTTTATTTTTAAAACTTCATAAGTTTGAACAGATCTTAGAATAGCATAAAATAATACCATATCAAAGCAAAACAGAGCAATCATTTAAAAATTGCAAGGTGATTATATAGACCTATATTCACGATTTCACATAAATCAGCATGCCAAAAATAGATTTATTTATTTTATTTTTTTTAGGTTAAATAACAAAACGAGAGGTAGTCAATTCTTATCAATGACATAATCTATTGGCTTAAATATATCTGCCTAATTTTGATATCAGACCGATAACATTAAAAATAGCATTTATCAGCCAATAACGACATGGCCGCTGATATATCGTGCATCCCTAGTATCCAGCTTTCAGATATTGTATAAATCCTAATTTTCAAAATTGTACCCTTATTACAAGTTTTGTGGTCCATGCAAATATTATTATTATTATTTTTTATGTGGACGTCAAACCACATTTTAATACATAGATAAACATTTCATAATTGTTTAATGTATTCTGTGCAAGGAATAATTTTAATTATTGAATACATTATTTCTATTAATACCTAATTAATACTCACTCATTTTTCATTATCAGGGGTTACCATAGCAGAATGAATGACCCTTTTTAAGGAATAATAAATTAATAATATTTAATAAAACATTCTTTATGTTTTTAATTTTTTCCTTTGAAAAACTCTGACTTTCTTATAGAAACACTTTTTATCTATTCTCTATTCTACTGTCTACTCTGTTTCTACATATATACGTGTGTGTTATAGACTACTTTAGCTGGGAATTGAATTTTTTGCACATATTTCTGTTCTGACTGCTTTGATTAATTTTATTATCCTTATTTGTGAATCACTTTAGAAAAAAGCCTCTGTAGCCAGATGATTAAATGCAAACGTAATCATCAGTTATTAATTGCATGTTAATACCTCATTTTCTACGACCTCAGTGACCTCTGCTTTGGCCTCAGCGATGAGCTCTTTTAGGGCTCGTCCATCTCGTCCAGCATAAGAGAAGGGGTGAGCCATGAGCTGCTGGGTTCCCCATCGAGCCTCTGGGTTCTTCTGCAAGCTCCTTCGAAGGAAGTCTTGGAAATGTGACGACCTGGTTTTAGAAATCGAGATAAACCTTTAAACGTAAACCACAGCAGGTCTAGAAATGGGATGAGGAAGTGAAAACCCACCACTGGCGAGGATTGGAGAGTGTTGGTGGAGGAGATTTGGTGATCTTCAACAGGACCCTCATTGGGTTGAGTGAGTGATGAGGGGGCTCCATCTCTGCCGCCTCGATTAAAGTGATTCCCATTGACCAGATGTCAGCTTTAGAGGTGTAGGGATTGTCCTTCGATGTTTCGCACATGATCACCTCAGGTGCCATCCTTGAAAGACAGAATATGCTGATCCACTACTGATGTAACTTTTTAAACGTTCTAACATTTGATTAGGGGTTTGTTAAACTAAGGACCTGCAAAGAGAGTGCTGAGGGGTTTTATGGAAATGTGTATTGAAATAAAAAAATAATACGGCCTATTTAGTTTATTCAATTCACTTATAGTGCATGTCTTTGGACTGTGAAGGAAACTGATGCCAACTGACCCAGCCAGGACTCAAACCAGCGACCTTCTTGCTGTGAGGCGACAGTGGTAACCACTGAGCCACCATGTCGCCTATTTATTTATTTATTTATTTATTAATTTATTTATGATTTATTTCATTAATTACTTATTTAATCATGTATTTATTTTAAAACCATCTAATAAAAATAATCAAAACACAACTGTATATTCAGATTATAAAATATCCTTAAATATATGACCATTATAACAATAGTAACAATAACAATTATAGTCTTTAATTTGATTTATGAAAAAAAAATCATAAAGTTATTCAAGAAGAATTTTATGAAAGATGTTGGTTAATATGATTTTAAAATGACCAGAAAAAAATGACTATATAGGTAAAAAAAAGATCAACTGTTTATTTTAAAATAAAAACAAAATTGTACACAAAAGAAAATTAATTAAATAAAAAATAGAAAAGATTGCAATAATTAAGGTAATAAATTAAATTCAATCATATAGCGCTAAGTACATGAGAGAGAAAAATAGTAACTGTAATTTAATAGAATATAAATGTTTTCCAAACAATATTTGTAATATTAATATTCTGACAAGAACCAACAGATACATTTTATAAATCACTCACAAAGATATTAAATTGTGCAAACCATTTTAAAGTATTTTATAGAAACAGTAACCCCCACCAAAAAATAATAATAATACTAATTTTACTCACCCTCATTTTGGTATATTCAGTTGAAGTCAGAATTATTAGCCCCTCTGAATTATTATCCCCCTGTTTATTTTTTTCCTACAATTTGTGCTTAAAGGAGAGAAGATTTTTTTCAGCACATTTCTAAACATAATACTTTTAATAACTTATTTCTAATAACCAATTTATTTTATCTTTGCCATGATGACAGTACATAAGATTTTACTAGATATTTTTCAAGACACTTCTACACAGCTTAAAGTGACATTTAAAGTGCTTAACTAAGTTAATTAGGTTAACTAGGCACGTTAAGGTAATTAGGCAAGTTATTGTATAACGATAATTTGTTCTGTAGACTATCGGGGAAAAAATATAAAGGGGCTAATAATATTGACCTTAAAATGGTGTTAAAAAAATTAAAAACTGCTTTTATTAAAGCCAAAATAAAACAAATAAGACTTTTTCCAGAACAAAAAAATATTATCAGACATACAGTTAACATTTCCTTGCCCTGTTAAACATCATTTAGAAAATATTTAAAAAAGAAAAAAAATTCAAAGAGGAGCTAATAATTCTGACTTCAACTGTATGTTTTTTCACATACTGTATATACGAAGGAATAAATGTTGGCAAATGTATATGAGACTCACCAGTATGGAGTTCCAATGAAAGTTGATCGTTTCTGCAGAGTATAGTCATTTTTTGCAGACACACCAAAGTCAGCTGTGAGAAAAATAAATTATAATACTAAATTATTCTAATATTAATTAGAATAATTACTAATATTATTCATACTAAATAAATAATAATAATGTATATATATATATATAAACAGATACAATATATATATATATATAAACAGATACAACACCTCCTGTTTTATTTGTATTTCGTCTTGAAGAAAGGTAAGTATTTTGTACCTAGTTTGACCTGTCCATCCATCGTGAGCAGAATATTGCCAGCCTTCAGGTCTCTGTGTATGATGTGGTGCTGGTGCAGGTAAAATAGAGCCTGCAGAGTCTGCCAGCAAACCTCACTGATCTGCTGCTCGGTCAGGCCTCGCTCCAGCTCTTTAACGCACACACAAACAATACAGACCATTTTGAGGGGTGTAAACAAAAACAATAGTCCCAACATATTTCCTGTTTTGCATTTTTAATTTCTATAGCTTCAGAGAATCTAAAAAGAGAAACATATTGATAAATAATGTTATGATAGCTGTTTTAACAGTAAGATATGATTGAATTGCCTCTTGTTACAGTTCTGAAATAGTTTGATAACAAGCAGGAAATGTTCATGGGCCAATGACATCATCGCATTGAAATGGTCTATAAGATGATGATGACGATGATGTCATGCATATACTACTGTAAACAATATCTGATCAACACTCACCCAGCATGATATCATCCAGAGCTCCCCCGGGACAGTACTCCAGCAGGATCTGCACAGAGGAAGCACTCGATATTATGTATTCAATATTGTATGTAGCATTTATAAAACATACACATTTGTGAACACAAAAATAAGATATTTTGAAGAATGTTAGAAACCGGTAACCACTTACATCAATAGCAAGAAAAACAAAAATGAACGTCAATGGTTGACATTTTTTTTATTGTTTATTTTGTGCTCAACAAAACAAAGAAACTCAAATGGATTTGTAACAAGTAAAGAGTGAGTAAACGATGACAGAGTTTTCAGTTTTGGTTGAACTATCCTGCAAAACAAACACAAGGAAACAGATTTCTCACCCAGAGCCAGCCCTCAAAGAAGATGGCGTCCAGCAGGGAGAGGATGTTCGGATGTCGACAGGCCGCTAAGATGTCTATCTCAGTGATGTAGTCGTCCAGCTGCTCCTCACTGCGCACTTCAATCACTTTAACAGCTCCCAGCACTCCTGTAGTCTGATTCTGGGCCTGAGATCAATACTACATACTGTAATACTTGCCTTTGACACTTTGAAGTGCAAGAAAACAATCAACAATGTTTATGCTGGAAAGGCCACAGTGCAAAGATGTGCACAGCACAGAAACTGCTAAATTGCAAAGTGCTGTTCATTTTAAGAGAGGTATGAAGATGAGTAGGTTGATTATGTGAATATTCTAACAGGAAGCCATCTTTAATCTTTCACATTTTGGTTTAACAGGAAGTTGTCAAACCGCAGCATAGCCCGAAACCCCCATTTTCTGTCACCTTGGAAACCTATAAATAAACAACAGCGTGCATGTTTTTCATACTATATTTTTAATGTTTCCATTCTCAAAGTGAATGTGTGAGACATCTGGTTTCCTTTGCATCTATGTTTTCAAATTATCAAGTTATGCTGCTTGATATTGCAAACAGGCGTGTTGCTTTATTATTTTTTATTATTATGGCAATCTTAAACTGTATTTTTACTGTGAGCATTTAGCAAGTTAGTGTTTTCTATGTTGTTAATCTAATAGGCATAACTGTAGCTGCTAATGAATCAGAAGTCTTATAGCAGATCCAAAGAAAATGTTTGCTTAGTGTCTCTTTTGTTGTTATGTTTTTATAAAAAAGGAAAATAACTTTACTATATACACTACCAGTCAAAAGTTTGGGGTCAGTAGAATGTTTAAATGTTTTAAAATAAGCTTCTTCTGCTCTTCAAGGCTGCATTTATTTCATCAAAAATACAGTCCAAATAGTGAAATGTTATTGCACTATAAAATAACTGTTCAAAAGTATTTCATCATTTAATTTAATCATTTATTCTTGTCATTTTAAAAATAATTTTTTTAGCTTTATTACTCCAGTCTTCAGAGTAACATGATCCTTCAGAAATCACTCTAATATTTATTATTATTATTATTATTATTATTATATATTATTATTATTGTTGTTGTTGTTGTTGTTGTTGTTGTTGTTATTATTATTATTAGTAGTAGTAGTAGTAGTAGTAGTAGATGTGTACTACTACTACTACTACTACTACTACTAATAATAATAATAATAATAATAATAATATTTTTATTACTACTACTATAGTAGTAGTATTAAAAAAATATTATTATTATTATTATTAATGGTAAAAGTAATAATGACTGAAGTAATCATTTCATTTGAAACTACATACAATATGAAAGCAGTGATTTAAAAATTTGTATTAAATATTTAACAATTTAACAAATATTTTACAGTTAATAAATGCCGCCTTGATGAACAGAATCATTTTCTTTAAAAAAAATCTGACCTCAAACTTTTGACCTGTAGCGTGTATCAAGTAGATTGAAATACCTGTACATTACTGAAACAAGATTAAATTTACTGTTAGAAATAATAACAATTAAATGTCCAAAACAGACCTGTAGCCAGGGAGAGTTCAGGCGGTTTGAAAGACACAACCCCCTTCTGACAAAGTCCAGAATTTGGCCCTATATTTGCTCATTTGTCCCATTTTTGACAATATGCCATAATAAATTGTGAAAATAACAAATAAAAGAAGGCTTTTATTATTTAAATGGATAAATGAGCTGTTCAGTTTGTTGGCCTTTATGCTTTAGTTTTTAATTTAGTTAATTTAGTTTAATATTAATGTTTTGTTTTTTAGGTTTTAACAGTTTCCCATTTTGTTATTGTTTTTTTTATAATGGATAATAAACTATTATTTAAAATAACTAATAATAATAATAATAATAATAATAATAATAATAATAATAATAAGAAGAAGAAGAAGAAGAAGAAGAAGAAGAAGAAGAAGAAGAAGAAGAACCTCGAATAACTGCAAAAAAAGTTAATAGGCTGGCTACGGGCTTACATAATTTTAACGGTAAATAGAGTTTGAGTAACCTTTAAAATCACTACGACAGTAGGTGGCGACGTCAAGTGACTCGATCATTCACTCAAACAGTTGAATCGTGATTCATCTGATTCATTTTAAACGAACATCAAACTCGACGGAAGAGGCCCCAATTGAGTCCTGTCTCCTTATCGTTTGAAATTGCTGACATTACAAAACAGACTAGGTTGGTTGGTTACTCAATATGCCTACGGACTTACAACACAATGGTTTATTGTACTTTGTGTTCAAGTAATTTTATATCACTCGTTTGCAGCCCTTGTGGTAATCAGCAGATGTGAATCAATTAACTTAGGCTATAGGCAGGCCTTCAGGAATTATCTCTCTTCATTATGAGAGTGTCGTTACATTTGTGTAGATTCGTGCTTTAAAAATGTCAGTGTTGCCAAATCTGATCAAAACCTCCTGCAGAAAAAAACAAACAAACAAACAAAACAATACAAACAAGCATAGAATATGTTATAGTGTGGTTTTTAAGAGATCTGTAATAGGCTTTCAGGACTCACTATTGGCATGTTTTTAAATGATATTTGTACTGGAAACCATTAGAAACTCATTTGAAAACCATTAGAAACCATGTGTTTGTTTGTTGGTACAACAATGGTAGTTTAATCCAACATGAAGAACAAGAATTCCACAAGATTCAACAAGAATGAAATGTAAAAGTTTAAGTCAGCTAAAATTGGTCAGTACTTTAGCTGAAAAGTCAGTCTGAAGAAAGAGGGATTTCCTTGAAATGACAGATAAGATAAAACTATGTGAGTATACCGCCAGGTTTTATTTTTTTAAAAATATTTAAATAGCAAATTATAAATATATTACAAACATGTTGTTTTACTGAACTGAAATAATCTGAATCCCTTACCTTATAGACCTTTCCAAAAGCTCCATCTCCTAGTTCTCCCAGAGTCTCCCACGACTGGTGTGGATCCACATCCCTCTTCAGGTTCTCATAATGCCTCACTCGCTTTTTCTCCACACCTAGCCGAAAGAATCGCATCAGGAGGGAGGCCATCGCTCCCTCCTTTCAAACTCACCCCAAATCCGTATGAAATCCCAGTCTCTTTAGTAAACCAGTGGTCCTCAACGTCTAGTTCAACAATGAAAACTCCTCAGGCCTGCCCAGAACTCAAAACAACACACAAATCGAGTCTCACCGAGGTGAAGATATGCTTTTGATTTTCACATCTGCCCTCATGCACACTTTACAGCAAGACAGGAAGCTGCAAGTAGCAGCCACATCCTTTACAAATGTGGGCCACAATAATGTATCTGTTGCACCTCGTATTTAGAAATGTAGTTTGTGCACTCTATTGTAGTGCATCTGTGAGAAGCAAAACATATAGAGGCATACTTTCAGCAAACTGCGAATATCATGGCCCTGTGTTTACTAATGGTTTAAAAATGTAAACTTGGAGTAAAAGTATTTTGGGAAGTCCCCAAATTAATCACACATACTAATTTAAAATCACCCACGTTTTTCTTTTTGTTTTCAGTCTGGGTCAAGAAACAAGTCATCAGTAAGATCATTTTCCACTGTTAGCTCTGTTTACTGACATGTGTAGGATGATCTGAGAGATGTAGTTCTACACCATCACCACAAGATGTCACTTTAGTACCACATATTAACGCTTGAAATGTAAAATAATATTTAGAAAAATGTATATTTTTGAATGGAACAATTTATTGAGCCTTCAAAAAAAGCCTGTACAGAATCTACATATTTTATTCATATTTTATTAATCAGACTTTGGTGTTTTAAGTAACCAAACTTTTAAGATCAATCCTAAATCTCTGCCTTGCTTAAAAGACAGTATCTCAACTTATTTGGCACAATTTCAGGGGAACACTTTGGTGTCATTTTGGTATAGTAATATCTGGCAATATTGCAATGCGGGCAACGCACCTAACGAACTGACAGTCGGCAGTCAAAAAGGAATGAGAAGAGTTTAACTGAGGAGAACATTTGCGATAAGATATTATCATTATGAAACGGCCAAATGCTATCAAAAATGTAGCATAATAACCCTTGTTTAAAAGCTCATCTGTAGAAATGAAAATGGCCAGGATGTAGACTATCCTATGTCATTTCATTAGGTTAACCCTTATGTTTACTGATGATGTTTTCATTCACTCTGGGTGATTTTGAGTCTTAATTTGGCCATAACTTTTTCTGTGTTTCAGCTAGGGGAAAGATTCTTGGTAACAAATCTTATTTTAAGAAAATGCTTTCAATTAAAAAAAAAAAAAAAATCAGCGATACACTCTGGGCGAATATACCTTTTTAAGTTGGGGATGAAAACATCCACTGAATTAAACTGCTGTAAAATGCATCAGATACAAATTTTGTTATTATTTATTTGCATCAATCTGTTCATCAACCTCAGTCCTGATCAAAACTACTAAATTACAGGATTTAAACTTTTTAATGGCCAAATTCATAAATGATGTTAATGATTTGGTGAAAAACCCAATCATTAGTAAAAATCCTGTAATTTCTAAACAATTTAGTTGTGTTGATCAGAGCTGAGGTTGATTAACAGATTTATGCAAATAAATGTAAAATATATATTAATCTGATGCATTTTACAGCGGTTTCAATTCAGTGGATGTTTTCATCCTGCACATAACAAAAAGGGTTGTACATTTGAACAGTGCACAAGGGTTAAATAGTTAATTAACTACATTTGAAGTCACGTAAATTAATGAAATACTTGTATAAATCATGTAGTTTGTAAAAATCATGAAATAAATAATACATGTCATTTGTTTTTTTGTACACTGAATCTTATAAATAAAAATCTTTACAGCAAAGAAAATGAACGTAGCCTTCTGCTACATGAAACAAAACTCTAACTTTTTTGTAGACGTTAATGCAACATAAGGCCATGCTTGTAAGACATCAAAAACTGAGTGCACCATTTCAATGAACAGATTGTTCAAAGTTTAGTTGGCTTTCATGCGAGACAGTTAAGAAAGTTCAGGAGTCTTATGACCAGCATCATCATGCTACTGTACCAGCATGAGCGGTGAGTCCTGGGCTAATGCTCCACTGAACTAATCTGAGGAATGGGAACTTGGATGACATTCCTGCTAATCAGCTTGTTTAAACAGTTCAACTAAAAACACAGAAGACATCTCCAATTGACCATTGAACAGCATTCCAGAGGAATCATAGGATCTGTGCAAAGTACATGGTGGGAAACTGGCAAGACTTGCTTTTCAGTTTTAAAAAAATTAAAAAAACACAAAAATAATTGTAAGGAACTTTTAGATTTTTTTTTGATAAAATTTTTTTAATTTTTTTTTATTATTTTTAAACACAAATAAGATGTATTGAAAAAAAAATGCTGAAACCAGTAACCATTTTTATGTTTTTATGATTATTAAAAATATTTTTTTGTGTGTTTTGACAGAAAAACTGAACAAGTCAAGGCTGAGTAAATGATGACAAATTTGTGTGTGTAAAGTATCCTTATCAACTTTGCATCCACTCAAAAACAAATTATTTTGGCATTTGCGTTCTTTTGCAGAAGTATATTGATGTAACACAAATGCTTTGTGATGGATGTAAAGCTTCGGGTGTAAAGAATTTGATGTTTGCAGCATAAGGTAATGCAAAAAAGGTGTAGAAAATGCAATTGTCTTGTGAGTTTTTGTGATCAACAGCCAAGCTAAGTCAGCAAGTTTTCAGCACAAGCAGACATGAGAATACTAGTAGTTGGAAATATAAGTGTACATAAAATCTTGATCTATATTTTCATGAAATGCTTTTTTTTTTTTACTAAAATTAAAACTGAATGAGTTTTTTTTTTAAAATAGTATAACATACTTTTTTTTTTTTTTTTTTTTGTCAGTCAGTAGCCTAGTCGTGGTTAGTTACCAATTCTTCCCCTCTCTCTATGCTCCATACTTTCCTCTTTGTAATCTCCACTGTCCTATAAAACCCCCTAAAGAAATATTTTTAAAAAATGTATACAGCTCTAAAAATATATTTAGCAAAAATGTTTTTCCACAGACTCTGTGCTGGAAGTCACCGGCTCATATTTAGCTGCGCCAAATTTAGATCATGCTGACAAAATAAAAACAAATTTCACATCAATCATTTTGAGATCTGAATCTTTTTTTAATGAAATGCTCTTAAACTGAACACAAAAGTCAATTAATCGAAAACATGAGTAAATTTTACCTTGTAAATTTTGAAAACTAAAACCATGGCATTTGTTCAAATGACGCAAAACAAATGGAGTTAATAATGGGGTTGTGTAACACTTGAAGATTCAAAAAGAGCACCTTTACTTCTTGACTGTACAGTGGTCAAAGATGTTACTCTGGTTTTTACAACGAGAGGCTAAATTTTCAATTTTACACAATTGATCAACTTAAAAAGTGCACCAGAACAGAGTGGGACAAGACGTAACAAATTCAGTGAAGGTTACAGTTGACTTAAAGGCCAGGCGAAAGGATAAACAAAGCCACGTCTGGGGGATTCAATGCTTATACAGGTAAATCTTTAGAATATTGCCGTACAATATTGTTTCCCTCACAGTGGTTTTCATCCAGTGCAACATGAAAAGCAATAACAATCCAAACGGTACATAAAATATGTCTTCGGGGAATATTTCAATATTTATCAAAAGTAAACTCAGGACTTCTACAGGTATTTAGGCTTTTCCGCAAAGGAAAATATTTAAATGCATGATTCAAACGGGGACACGGCATATCATCAACAAATTAAATACACACTTTCTGATAAAACGGTTTTGTGCCGAACTGCAGAGTCTGCCACAGGCAGGCCTGGCGTAAATCGCTACACCGCTAATCGCATCTCCTGAGGGAGTGAACGTAAAAATTCCCCTCGAAAAGGGAATTGGAACATTTTCAAATAAAAAAATACCCAAATACTTTGCCATTTACAAATCATCTGCCAAACTCAATCCTGAATGCAATCGTACGCATTCCTCATATTAAAATAATCTTATTTTTCCAACTCATAAACTACACGTATGGCACAGTGACTGTATAAAGCGGCAGCACTTATATAATATGCAGGTATTGTACAATTTATTTACACATTTACATGATGAAGTTCAGAAAAAAAGAAGAGGCAAAGTTCCTTGTTCCTTTTCTGGCCGGACAGAATCTTGAAGCCTTTTTTGTGCGCTAATTTACATAATCTGTCAAATGTTCATGGTTGTAAATGTCATTGATGTCAAACAGGAGTGATGGATCAATTCAAACCAAACCGTTTTGCTCTTTCCGTTTTTTTAAAAGCAGATTGAGGATGTGATGCGAGTAGCTGATCAGGTCTGAATGGAAGATGTGAGTCTCTCGAGATCATAGACTGTGAGAGAGACTCTTCCTCCAGCATCTACACACTTTCTCCAGCAGAATGAGGTGATGATGGTCACATGCAGCCTTTCTCATATGCCATTGGCACTCATCTTGGACTTCTGTGACAACTCTGCTTCTTTAGCCTGATGAGACACAACAAATGAAGGTAAGTTACATCGCCAAATTCAAAGGCATTAAAATTAGAGTAACATATGAGCTGGTAAATGTAGTGAAGATACATATGCTTTTACAGTTGAACTAAAAAATGTTTTAATGATATAGAAATTTTGTGTCCACATTGAAAGTGATACACACACTTTAAGGGCTCTATTTTGACGGTCCACGCAGAGCGCAAAACACAGGGCGCAAACGCTTTCAGGGCGTGTCAGAACGCGTTTTTGCTCATTTAAGGCAAGAAAACCTGCTTTGCGTCATGGCGCATGGTTTAAAAGGGTTGAGTTTATTTTATTAATGAGTTATAGGTGTGTTTTGAGAATAAACCAATTAGAGTCTCATCTTCCATTCCCTTTAGGACCCAGCTGTGTCACGCCAAGAGCGCATTTGCTATTTACAGGACGCAAATTAAGTCTAAGTGGAAAAAATGAGCATTTCACTAGCAAACAGAAAACTATTAAACAGAGCATTTACTGCGTGAGAATGAGAGGTAATGGAACTACTTTCACATTCGCTCTTGGATAGGGAAACCTTTATGCACAGACATCAGTTAGTCTATAAACAATTCATTTCGTTTGTTAAGCGCAAATATTTGTTTCAAAACTATTTCTAAATTCAGTTCTAATTTCCAGCAAACGAATAAATGAACAATATTAACGAAGTGTGTTCAAAAACCTGAGTTATAACCTAAAACACATGCTGTGCCCCATATGGTCTAAAACCTGACAGGTG